GATGAGGCACTTCAAGCGAGCATTGACGCGTCGAGGCTACCTCTAGGACTAGGACGAGCACGTGAAACACGGCAGGATCGTATGGGACATGGTATAGCGGTGGGCAAAGGCTGAGGAATTGTGTGGGATGCGGAGCATATTTGTTATTTAACTCCGGGCGGACGCAAAACCATTCCAATAGCATAAAAATGTATAGAGTGTAGTGGAAAATCCAAGTTTTGTACTTCACCCTCTCAGCGTACCAGAATTATCGTCTCAGCGACCCTCGGAGTCCCTTCGCGTCGGACTTAGCGTCTACAATCAATCCTAGCTTTGCCAATAGGCCGGACTCGTCGAAACTAGATAACTCCGCCATCACATATCGATCCAAGTAAGCTCCGGATTTAAAGTATAAAATTCACCAAGCGTCTGTAGGCATGAGACTATTGTTCGGGTTCAGTGGAACTCCCCACCCGGGTTACTGGCGAACTTCGGAGATAAATACTCCGGAGAATCGCTATACTGTTTGTTTCAGGCCTCAAGATTTTGTTTGTTTTAGGTTTTCCTACGGGCTACCCTACGGCGTCTAACTTCTCCCCCTCCCTTCGAACTTAAATATTACCCTTCAATCGCCTTAGACCGCCTACACCCATACCGCTGGGTGTTTTAGGTTTTATTTCTTTTTGGTCTTTGGTGTTGTCGTGTGTTAGTGCCTATCACCGTCCACAGAGTAGATGCAGGATAGCGCGTCCGCCAAGACATTGTCGGAACCCGGTACATACTCAATCGAATTCCAGATTTTTTCTAACCATTGCGCTTGATGTCCCATCAGCATCTTCTGTTTCATTAGGTGGATTAACCCTTTGTGGTCTGTCAGCCAGCGAAACCGGGCCCCTTGAAGAACATCCCAGTGACGCAGCATCGACTCCATGCCAGCCAGCATTTCCTATTCGTGAACTGCATAGTTGAGCTGAGAAGTATTCATCTTGGCAGAGTGGAACACAGCGACATGGGCTGATTTAAAGTCCCGGCCCTGACTGATGACCCCAGCCAGTCCTCCATGCGATGCATCCGTGACCAGGAAGATTGGATCCGCGTCTTGGGAGTAGTCCAGGGGCCGACGATGATGATCCCAGTGAGCTTGTACGATCTGTTTGATTTCTTCAAATGCATGTTGATGGGTCACAGTCTATATCCTGGTACTGGAGTTGTGCCTTCGCACCTCAGTTGACTTTGGAGCGCGAGCCCTGAACAGCGAGCTGCACCGGTAAGGGTTTCTCCAAATCGATCTTCGAGACTCGAAGCTGATTTGCCAAATCATAGGACATAAAGTCAGCGAGCGAACCCGAGTCCAATAGGGCCTTGGCTGGATGACCATTTGATGTTCACTACAACCACCAGTGGTTTGGGAATTAATCTTTTAAAGTCCCTAGTGACTGCCGCATTCCTTTGAATGTTGGGGTAAGCATTCGGTTTTACTTGAACCCTGTTAAGCTTGGTGATGCAGAACACATCCTCCTCATCACTACACTTTACTCGATTTGGTGAAGTGAGGTGAGTGAAAGAATCCTTGTAGTCATTCAAGATGCACGTGAATTCATGTTTTCTTGTATCAGACTCGAATAGCTCAGGGAGACACCACTCTTGGTTGCCTCCCTCCATGACACGTCGCCGAAGGTCATTTAATGCGGCTCGAAGGTGTAAGTCATACCAGTGCGGTAAGTTGAATTTTGGGTTTAATGCATGTTGCCCTGGTAGCTGGGTGATATACATCCATTCCCTGTCATAAATAATAACTTCATCATCATCCAGGTGACAAGTGAAACGGGATGAAGAATGGCGGCGCTGATTATTGTCGCCATAGTATGGTGCATCTGACTCCAATATGGCTGACACATGGTTGGCTATGGCTGGTCCCATAGGTTCTACATATTGGCTGAGTGTTGTGTTGCTCCCCGTCAATATACTCTGTGGTAGAGAGTGCCGGAGCGCTTGTCGATACCACTGTACCAGATTGAAGTCCGGGTCCGCCAACATCTCGCCAGGTATTTCGGCATGGCCCCAGACCAAGTCATCAACAATTGTGTAAGTCCCGTCACGCAGACTCCTTACGTGGAATCTATCTGACGAATAAATACACAGTTCAGCCTCGTGGTTACAGAGACCCTTATTGCCCGGATAGGGTGCTCCTTGCATAAGTAGACTCTCCGCTCGCACTGCTAACGGGTCTCTGTTCCAGAGCCACCGTTTGTCCTTCAGCAGTTTATGAGGGGGAGCTCTCCTTTCCCTTCTCTGCTTACGAGGCCTGGTCCCCTTGACAGGGGTACCCCGAGGGATATGGGGATCCCCAATCAGAGCCTTGGGATTCTGCCTGGGCCGAGGGTGGTTGACTTTGGACGGTCGATCATTAGGGAAGAGATCGATCTGCCCCACGGTAATTGTGTCTATCATCTCTGTGGTATCAGCTAAGTCTTGTAGTTGTTCGGTTTTGGATAGATCAATATTAGCATTGAAGTTATCCAGCCCCGGGGATCTATCTGACTGTTTCTGCCGAACCGCATACCCCTTGGGGCAGTTCCTTGTAGGCTCAAAATTCCTTGCAGCGGAAACACTTCCCTGCCACTCGGAGCACCTCCTTTTCCTTTTCACTCATGTGTGATTTGTTTGTTGAACAGTTGCCACTCCGGTCTCGGCCACCTCCCGAATGGGAAGCACCCTTACCAGATTGGGCATATGGCTTCCTGCCCTGGGGGGAAGGCTTGCCAAATCCATTTCTGTTCCCGTCAGATGACAGAGGCTGGGAATGAGAAGGTGCGTTCTGATTCTTGGAACCTGCAGGCTTACTTTTGTAGTGTCTAGCAGTATCCCGAACGGCGCTGCTTGTGGCAAGTGATACCTCTATTCGCTTGGCCCACTGTGCCACGGTCTTCCATGGGGTGAAGTCAGGATCAAGTTCCTGCTCCCATAGTTTCGCTTGGATTGGTTTACTCAGTCCTTTCCAGAGCTTGACGACTTTTTCTTGCCGGCTATAAGTGCCAATCATGCTCAGCAGCTCAGTAAGTTCAAAAATGTATTCTTTGACCGAGCGGTTGTCCTGATAGCACCTATTTAGCTTCGTTGGCAACTGGTCCCTGAAATTGATGGGGAAACAGTAGTCGAACAATCCCTTGAGGAATTCATCAAGGTCCAGGCTGCTGCCAGCCAAAGTATTATGATAATAATCATAAGCCTTTCCCTCTAGGAAGTAGGCGATGTACCTAGCGTGTTTGGATTTTTCGAGGCGTCCATCCTCGACGTACGCGATCGCTTCGGCCATGAACTTATTGAAGCGACACACGTCCGCCGTCCCATCGTACTTAGCAGGCGGATGCGGTTTAAGAAGCGTCTTGTGAGACTGCTTCTCTTTCTTTTTAGTACCTTTTGCTGAATTAGGACTTTTCCCCTTCACCTTCACGTGCCGAGCTCCTAGGCCGTGCTTGGGTGGGGCGTCTGATTCCCCGGATGAACTCTCGCTATCCAAAGACTCCGAGGAGCTCAGTACCAAAAGGCCAGGGGTACTGTGACGTGATGAAAATGACGAACTGGATGAGTCCGAGTCGTCAGAAGAATCATCCGGTGATCCCGGTGAGTGGCCTAATGACTGTCTAAGTCTGTCGAATGTTTACCAATCGTGCTTCTAGGGTGCACTTGATTGACAGGTCTCAGCCCTTTGCTCCCCCTTGTGCGGGGAGGGTGGTTCGATGCTTTCCCCTTGCTCTTGGGCTCGGGAAGAATGGTCTTAGACTCCTGCTTCTTCTTCTTGGAAGGGGGTGGCTGGTTAGGTGAGTGATCAGCCACTTGCGGCTTTTCTTCTTCTAATTCAGCCTCCAAGCGAGCCGTTAGGGCTTTCAATGCCCGAATACGTTTGTGTATGGAGTTGTTGGGCTCAACAACCCCATCACTTCGAGGTTCGGAGTCTAGTGACCCGGGACCGGTGGATTTATTAGATAGTTGTACTTCTCTAATAGTATTCCAATTCTCGAGTGCAGCGCGCTGTTGTTCAACATCGAGGTCTGTTTCGTTGAGACCAGTGGTGGCCCAATTCCTCGGGTCTACCGCTTTCCCTTCAGACTGGGAGGGGCCAGCTTCACCAGCACCACCAGCCACAAAGTTTCTACCAAACTGGGAAGTTGCGTTACCCATTTGAGTAAGGCTGTGGCTGGAGATGCCACCCTCTGCGTTTCTTCTAGTGTCCGGCGTCAAATACTTCTCTGTTTCAGATGCTGAGCTTACAGACTCGACACGAGCCTTCTTTTTAGTCTGGCCAGACTGTTTCCCGCTAGAAGCAGGACTCCTGCAGTGGCGACGAGCGACTGTTTCCCAAGGTCCCTCGTCAGTTCCGGATGTGGTGTTCCCACCGTTATCCTTTTTTCCAGCGCCGAGCTGGTTCAATTCGAGTAAATTACTATTTCTACCTAATACATCATTTTTAGACATATTGGTTACCCCTTGAGCAGTGCGCAGCGTGCTCGTCAAGGGAATATTCTCCCTCCTCTCATCAGAGGAGGGAATACACGCTCACGCTGCATCGGCGTAAGAACGCTCGATAGCAGGGGTGGCCGGGGCGGATGTATATCCATTATCCGGAAGGGGGTCTAGAGACTCTGAATGAGTCTCCGAGTCTGACTGAGCAGACACTTTTTTGGCGGGTGGAGCTGCCTTTTGAGTTACCCGTGCCAGAGCGACACGAGTGCGGGTCGTACGTAGGGGGTAGCGTGTAGTCATCAGGGCGTCGACGCGATGTGGCGTATGTCGGAGTTGTCAGAGTGTCGGAGTTTCAGAGTCGAGTTCGAGGTTGAAAGTCGGAACAAAAATTGATTTGAAGTCGAGCGTGTAACCATCGGAGGTCAAGGGTGATCAGCCCGAGAGTCGCCCAGAGCAGTTACAACCAATTTAATTCAGCATTCTGTAGATACACTCAGTCTGTGTACAAATTATCTAAGGGATATGACACACTCTCTGCCTTCAATGGACCAGCTACTGTTTCTACAATAGAGTGTATCTGCTGTGGTAATTACCACAGAATCTTATTCCTGGAATAGCCGTATGCTATTCCAATACCAGGTGCACCGGGGGCCCTGGCTTGGGGCCGATGATATCAGCGCTCCTCAGCGCCTTTCCCTCTTTGATTGAAATCAAAATGCGTGATGCGTAACGTGTTCGGTGCAGCAACGCCGCCACCGCGACTTTGAACTCACCGACGCATCATATAGCGCGAACACTCCTTATGAACCTACTAGAACTACTGCTAAGCTGCCGCCCTATCCTCACAAGCCTGCCTCTGTTACATAGGAGTTTCCCAGGCCTCAGCTCTTGATGCATACGGCACAGTCTATATATAACAAATCCTTTTCTGGTAATATCATACTTCTTGTGGCTAAAAGTGGCGCATAGCCCCAATTGTGTGGTGTGTGGTCCTATTCCAAAACGCACGTATGCCTATTCCTAAAATCCTGTGGTAATTACCACAGCAGATACACTCTAATGCCTCCACAGCACCCTTACTCTATGGACATCTCATGGGCTGATTTTCGTGATTCCTTTGATACCACAATTCTGTTTCTATACTGAAAACCCCTATGTACAAATTCCTGAGTCAATCCAAGCCCTGCCACAGGTGCTATGGATTTTTCTTGCCTGGAGGCCATCTCACACCTTGAAAGTGGCACACCGCCTTATGTTCCGCAAATAGCAGTAAATGATCATATCCACATAGTTCTTGCCATCAGTAGAAAATGTATTTGAAGCTTACAAAGGAAGCAGACTGATGCTCTGGCTAAAAAGGTCTTTATATACTTTTTCCATTTCTGTGCTGCTTTATGTTACTTTCCTGTACTTGAAAAGAGGGGGCATTAGAGCATATTCAGTGTGGTAATTACTACGGGTGGAGCTCCCAAGTAAGGGAATTTTGATGGATTTAAGCGACCCCATTGGCCCCACGCTGTGGTAATTACCACAGTGAATATGCTCTATTCTTCCGCTACTTTCTCTGATTTTGCTTCTTTATAGTCATTTTTCAACTTAAAAGTAGACTTGGATCTTCCTGATGACTGCATCACTGGCCAGTGCCTTACATGTCTTCCCCATAACACATGTCTATTGGCACAAACAGCATCAAAAGAGGAGAAATAATGTGTATGTCATATTTGTGACTGCACGCACTAATTGTTACCATCAGCTTACATAAGAGTGTTTGAATGTGCATCAATGTATCACATGCACTACCCAGCATCAATGGCAGGAACCCACTCAATGGATTCTCAAAAGCTGCTATATGAGCAGCTTCTGCTGAAATCTGGATTCTGGATTCTGGAGAATCTGACTTGCCTAGAATCCACCAGAATCTGGATGTGTGTTTGGGATTGAATGGCTCTAATAGCATCATACCAGTCAAAGGTTTCAACCTCTTTGAAGCACACGATAGTAAGCTGTGGTGTCAGTGAGGAACATTTCACAGGATGCTTGTTGCCACAAACAAGTACAAATAAATGTCCTTAGTTCAAATAACTGAATTCTCGAAGTGTACAGTAGCCTTGCTAGAGCATAATTACTCCTAGGTAGTGAGAGACTTCCAGAGACAAGAGCAAAAATATGCAACACCACAGCAATGACTAAACACAAAGGCACAAAATTGACAATAGCATTCAGTATTTATGCCACAAACAAACACAGTTTTGATGGTTCAATTCCCGATGCGCACAGACCTTGCTAGTCGCAAGGTAACATAGCCGAGCACACTTATCCTTTCAGATTGATTGACTTGGAGTACTAGTAGGCTCCACAGGGAGAAATCCGAACTGGCTCCATCATTCTGCAAACAGCTGGAAGTACTAACCATGACCAGATGCAACCAATAATGTAAATTCAGCTAATAATACACTCATCCTTCGCCTGTTGCCGCGTTGGGCGTGCAATATTCATCCTCTTATTGCCAGTTCTCTTCATCTCCGTTAATCGATTCATTGCTCGCTTATTACCTTGCGCTAGGCGGAGTCAACTACCGCGCCAGCGTGAATACGAGCCAGAAGGCTTACCTGCGGCACGCATATACCATCGTTTTGCGAATTCAATGTCCTGCTTCACACCTATGCCTACCTCCGCATAGTACCCGACCGCATATTCCGCCTTGCTGAGTCCCTTGTTCGCCGCTCGCCTCGCCCACAGGTACGCTTCAGAGTCGCTCTGCTTCAGGACGCCCTCACAGCCCGTAAGATACCATCCACTCAATGCCAGCTCGGCCTCTGCGCTTCCCTTCTCCGCAGCTTTGGTATACCAGGCAATGGACCGCTTCGGATCCACCGGGCATGTAAGAGCCCCCACCTCGTAGCAGTGACCCAGCTTGCATTGCGACTGCGTGTATCCTAGCTGGGCCGCCTGAGTCAGAAGCCGCTTGGCATACGCCGGGTCGTACGGGACGAGCCCATTATTAGGCATCTCATGGAGTAACGCCAGCTCATGAAGGGCGTGGGGATTCTCCTCGTCGGCCTGTTCCGCAGCCCTCTTCAGCCAGCCAACCGCTTCTCGAGGATTCTTCGCCTCACCCAGCGTGCCTTGCAGCAAGATCATTCCGAGCTTGTACATAGCGGCGGTATCGCCCAGCGAGGCAGCCTTGCGATAGAACGCGATGGCTCGCGCTGGCTCCTTCCTCGTTCCAACAGCGATCTCGTTGCAAACCGCAACCCTATACGCGGCCGCTGCATGGTTCTGCTTCGCAGCCTGTAAGTACAAGTGGTAAGCCTTCTCATGATCCACCTGGAGACCCAGTGCACCAGTGCCGTAGCAATTTGCCAAGAAGAATTGCGCTTCCTCGTGCGGCTGGCCTTGAGTAGCGAGTCGCCGGATGACCTTGAGTGCTTCAGTGACAAGCGTGTCGCGATACTTCCGTACCGCACGCTGGTCCTTAGCATCCGCGCCGATCTTCTTAGCGGCATCGATGAGATACTTGGCATATTGGAAGTGGGCGTCAGGATCGGGATCAGCCTTGATCCGTTGACGATACTCGTCGATGTACGCCTTAGTGTAGGGAGGTGCGCTTAGGTCCACGGCTTTGGTCTTCTGGGTGCGCAACGTTACAGATGCTGTAGTACCGGATCTCCGCAACTGCGGACGAAGACTGGGGTCACTATCATCCCCACTGTCCAAAACAGAAGGAGCAGATACATTGGCAGCGTCGCCAGAATGTCCGCTATCTTGGGAATATATGCTCTGAGTGCGCGGACCAGGATACGGCGCTGAGTGACTTGAAACCAACGACGCTTGACTCTGGGCGTAGGGTCCAGCTATGGGAGCCATCGGCGCAGGTGGTGGAGGAGCCATACCCAGGACGTCAGATGCAGCAGAGTAAAACGGGTCGTATTCGCCGGACTGAACAGTACCATAGCTTCCTTGCTGCCCCTGCCAGCCAGCCTGACTATAGTCACTAGGAGAATACGCGTACGAGTGGTAATCTCCGGATGGATTGTACGAGTTGACCGAGCCGTGGTCATCGCGAGAATACATGCTCATCGTCTCTGCGTCGCGGTAGCCGTTTTGAGGGTACGCGACGCCTCCGTTACCGTAAACATTGTATTGAGAAGCGGACGCGCCGTTCGATGGATAAGCCGGCCCTGTTCCGGAGCCATGTCTGAATTCGGCGGGATTACCGGGGAGGGGTGCCCGGGAATAATTGCCTGCCTGGCGTGGGTAGCCTGACGGCGCGGAAGGCGAAAGAGAACGCATGGACATGGAAGTCCCTGCGCGAGGTATAGGTTCGGGAGACAGCGCGTTGTAAGCCTGAGGCTGGGGGTCACTCAGTCGCATCGCAGAGAAATGATCCAACGCAGACGTAGGGTCATAAGGAGGTAGGGGTGGAGCAGGCTCAGTATTTTGCTTCTGTCTATGCTGAGACGGATGGGAGGGAAGAGATGGTACTGAACGATTGGCATGTCGCATTAGAGGATTAGCTGCGGGTCGTTTGAGAGGTAAACAATCGTACTCGAGTAAGATAGAAGAAAAGGCGACACACGTACCTGATGACTGAGGTACGTTATTATATTGTATATCGTTGGGTATAGCATTGGAAGCTTGGGGCCTGCCCTCGGCTTGATCAGCGTGATACCCGTCATACTGGGCGCTTGCCAGGGATTGCGGAGACTGGGTATGTTCATCGACAGACGGGGGCGGCTGCGTCTGAGACATTAGAAGGGGAGCGAAGGATGGTCGAGAGACGAAAGTGAGCGAGAGAACAGGCGTCGAGAGCAACGGGTCGGAAGGATGGGAGTCCGACCTAACCCTCTCACGTGGCTATCTCAGACGCACTTCCAAACAGGCGGACTGCAGCTGCGACTCTCGAAAACAAAATGAATAATAATACAGACAACACGGGTCGTGTAAACTGGAAAACAACATTAAATGAAATATCAACCCCCGTTGGTCTCGACTGCCGGCGCAGACGTGCTCACAGGAGCCTCTTTCGATGCCGCTGCCGCCCCTACCCATTCCCACTCCTCGACCACACGTTCGACGCGGTGCCTCTCCAGGCCCTTCTCCGTCCTCCTAAATTTGATCACAACGTCCCGCCGACGTCTGAGCTCCAGTTCATCACCTTCGCCGGTGTCCATGGCCGAGTCACTCAGGTGGTCAATCCAGTCGGAATTCCAAGTATCCTCGTCTGGAGGTTTGCGGCCCTTGATCACTTTCTGTAGGGTCTCCTTGGGCTGTGCGAGCACCCTGTCCCATGACCGCGGTTTAAAATGCTTGAACATCGGCGTGCCATCGTCCGCGCTGTCCATCTCCCCATGCTTCCTCTTCCGCGCTGAACCGCCGCTATCTTCGTCGTCGCTCAGGTGTCCTCGCGCCTGCTGCACTCTCCACCTGAGTTCACGCGCAAGTGCAGACGCATCCTTCACGCGGTCCCCGGGGACTTGTTCCTTGGCTTCTCTCTTCGCCTGCTCTGTCCCTCGTTCCATGGTCCGAGCCTCGGAGACCAGGAAGTCAGCGAGCGCTTCCACCGATTCCAAAACACGAGGAGAAAATTCCTCCCGCGCTTTGAGGTCACGGAGATATTTTTCGCCGGCATACCAGCACAACCTGCAGGATTCACGACATATAAGTTTACATTCAACAAGAGGGCGCAAAAGCGCACTTTGCGAAGAACGGAAATCGGAACTTCTTAGGTACATGAGTCGAGATCTCTATGTCCCGAACCTTGAGCTCTGCAGGATAGTCAGCACCGTCCATCAATCATATCCCACGAATACGCACGGGTGGCAACATTATAAGAGTGAAGGAAATTGCCACCAAAGACCAGGGTATCCACAGGGGTATACTGTTTGGACCGTAAGCACTAAGCGCCACACAGATATTGCGGTACTTACGACGGCATGTATCCAGCCAGTTGGTATGATCATCGTATTCCCCGCAGTTAATTCGACCTTCACAACTTCGTCCACCAAGTCGCCTAGCCACGTATGGCTCTGCATCTCAGTTCCTGACCATCGTTCGTACGCGGCAAGGTTCGCGGGCGTTGGCTTAATGAAATAAAATACCTTGGCTCCTCGTAGGACGTGGTAATATACCGAGGAACCTGCAAAATCGATATGCCAATCCTGCCTCATGATCAGTGAAATCGATATACGAGCCATCTAGGACTACTCACCGTCCAAGCTTGCGCCACACCCATTAGACAGTAGAGCTGCACCTTAGGGTACGCATGCCCCCTACCCCTCTTCGTATTCGGCCAAAACCTCTCCACCCAATCCAATTCCCTGACCAACTTTGGTGGTAGCACCTCATCACCCAGCTTTGTACCCGAGATCTCAAGCGAGATGACGTTTCGAATCTTATCCCGTTTTTCTGGGCTAGAGTTGTAGTACTCCGCCCACTTCTTCAGAGTCCATCCTGGCACATTAGACTGCGATGCAACATCTGGGAACTCGCGCAGAGGGTAAACAAACAGTTACCCTCAGGCGATGCGATTCCGTACCTATCACTTCAACTGGTGTGTCTTCTCCTACTATCTCTGCTATATCGTCGATGCCCAGGTCTCTCGGTGGCATCTTCAGCCCTAAGCCATCCGGCTGTTCGATCACAATTGGTTGGCGCAAGGCGTTTTCATCGCTTTCAAGCCAATCCAGATTCACATCTGCACCTTTCATCCGAGGGAAATTGTTCTCCTTGATAGTCTTTCCCTGGAGCATCTGAGCCCACCGGTTGGGATCCGACTCCAGCCCTGAATTGAGGTTTGCATAGTCAAGCTGTGTGCGCTTACGCGAGGACTTGCGCGCCGGTGGCTTGAAAGTTATCGACCGTGCCGGGTTCTTCGCTAGACACTCCTTGCAAAACCTTGTGATGATGTCAAACGTCTGTAACATTCCTCCGCTGTCCCCCAGCTCAGGCTCACCATTTGTCTATCCGCTCCAATTCACCGCCGTCCCCAGCGCATCGCCAGTGGTACCATGTCTTGCACGCATCACATCGTATCCAACTCTCTTTGTCCGCCAAAGCGGTCACCTCTCCATTCTCATCTTTGCAAGCCGGACACTTGTCGTCCTCTGAGCGGTCCTCTTGACCCTCCGTCTGCTCAACCTTCAGGGACGTCTGTCCGGAATCCGATTCTGCGTCATGTTCCGGGGACTTCTGAGCATTCGAGCGTGTAGACCGTCGACGAGCCTTTGCCATGGGCGCACTACACTTTGCTAGACGAAGAGCTGTGAAATCCCGACACCGATGCTCTGCTCCTCCGCTGCGCTGACTTTCTTAGTGAGATCTGGGATATTTTGGGGTAAACTTCGAGTTAATTTCGGGAATCATTTTGAGTTTCCATTCTGGGTTTACACCTTCATCGCGCCTGTGGCGCGCGAACAGACGCGCGCCCTTGCTTGCTCGACCACCTTGTGGCGCTCAATATCAAAATCTATACGTCCCTGCAGAGCTCACCCTACTAGAATGGATGCAACTCGTGAAGATCTGCCTCGTGTTTCCATCGAGACACTGCAAGACTGGCGGAGAATAAAGTACAACTATGAAAGAGCTCTTCTAGAGATGCTAGACGAGAGATTGGCTGCGAGTGGCCTGTCTCACGAAAGAGATTCATTGATACCATACATCGACGAGGTCTGCATCGTGCTTCTGAAAATATTGATCTTTTATGTAAACTAGCGCAGTTTGTCTCTTCGACCTTTCAGATAGCGAAACCGAACGTTCGTATTAACGGCCAGAATTCGGAGGAAATCGACGATGAGGAAGAAGGTGAGATAGTATAGTTCCGGCGGTTTCTCTCCGGTAAGCTCAGCAGTATTGCCCCAGAAATGGAACCTTTCGACGAGGCTCTGGACCGGCGTATATGGTCCCTGGCAGATCAACGACTGAAATGGGACCGCGAGATAGCGAGCAAAAGACAGACACGCCCGAAGGAAGTTGCGGACATGATACAGGACCTATTAGATCGGCAAAGAGAAGACGACGAGGAATTTGCCACGTCTGCTACACCAGATACAGAAGAGCCCGCTGAAACTGAGACTGACGGTAAGCAATCACTGTGGACGCGAAGCGGGAGACAGACTTACTGTGACTAGTCCTGGATGCCCGATATCCAGATCTACAAACAAGTTTCGGGCAGCTGATGGCCTTGTCGGAGGAACTGCAGCAGGTCAGTGTACGGGTTTGACCGGAGGCTATCAATGATGATTTATGTCAATCCCAGGCTGCTCCAGTGCAATTGGAACGCTCCATTAGAGTAAGGGCAGTGGAAGAGGAAGTGAAGTCCTTGAAACGTTGATCTGCAACAAGCCATAGGGCCATATTTTTCCTCGATAATACCTGCCGCGTAAGCTGTGTTCCCTGTCAATATTCGCGGGTTCCTCGTCGTCCTATGATCGTCGGGAACGAGATGGGTGTATCCATGCACAAATCTGAGAAGGTACATATTAATAGCAACAATGTATCGTACAGTTCTCTGTAAATCTGCAGGGAGGAGACATGTGGACCATCTACTGGACGTTCCACGGGATACAAAGGCGACCCGCTCCATTTTCTGAGTCCAGACAACCTCCTGCTGAATCTCGTCACCGTTAGCTAAACTGCAACCCGGTGGCAGGAGGGAGCCCTCTGCAAAACATAAATCGTCCGGCGTACGATGTTTATGAGCCCCTGAAACCGCGACCTCCTCCGCGACCTCCTCTGAAGCCACCACCGCCCCGACTTCCACCACGTCCCCCGCTGAAGCCGCCGCGCCCGCCGCGGTCTCCAAAGCCACCCCGCCCACCCCGACCTCGAGGACCTCCTCTTTGGAACCCACCGCCTCGTCCTCCTCCGCGTCCACCAGGACCACCACCTCCCCTTGTGCCTCGTTTCTCTGGAGAAATTGAAACAGAAATATAAGCGCAGATCCAGTGAAAATGATTCGGAAGGTACGCACTGACGCCTATGTTTGAGATGTCAGGTTCCTATCAGGGAGTAGAGAATACTGTGTACGTACCGCCGACAGCCTTCGGTTTGGGCAGAAAGCGCTCGATAGGGAGAAGTTTGTCGCCAGCGATATAGACCTTGTCCCCCTTCTTGAAGCTGCTGGCTATCATGCCTTCTCCCATTTTGATAGAGAAGTAGACTTCGTTTATTGGACCAAGGATCTCATCCACTTTCCCGATGACCGACTTGTTCTGAAGATATATGGGCGCGTTGAAGTATGGAACCTTGTCTGGCATAGTGGAGCTGCATAACATTTCATCTTCAACAGCATGGACGAAAGACCCCATCTCTAGCGGCAAGGAGTGAGTCTTTGACCCTCAGCTAGCATACGACGATGCGCACCTAGCACTGTATCCGGAGGGCCAAAATCTCGTTGCTGGAAGCCGCCGCGCCCTCCTCCGCCTCCTCTCCCTGAAAAAAGTACAAATTTCAGGCTCTGCAGGTATGCTTAATCATTGCCTTACCTCGACCCATGCCTCTGCCTCCACGACTCATTGCAGGTGAAAGTAGATTGAAAAGAGCAGAGATGCCTGCCGAAAAGAGTAAGTGCAGGCTAGTTGTGGCTTCGCCGCCGCTCTTGGGTTGCCGGACACTGGCCCGTTAATCACGTCCGGGTAATGGACTTGCAGCTACACTGCCTCTTGTACCTTATGCCATGAGCTTGTTTTTCGATAAAACTGGCAGAGTTCTCGTCTCATTATCTCTGAAGCAGGATCTTTCCAAGGCTGGGCTAGATACTGCGCTCATCGGCAGAGACCTTGCACGTATTTTGGAGAGCTCCCCTGATTCCAATGAAGACTTGACTCTTTCCTTGGCTCCTGAGGACCGAAAGCCTGTTCAATCCTCAGGGCCTTCAGTGCTCAGGAGTCTATTGTGTCGCGTCGAAGTCGACGAGGAGGTACGCATACTTTCGATGAAGCAACTCCCCTTATAATGACCTCACCCTGAAGCTGCGGTATAACAGATCCATGGTCTACGTATTCCACCAGTATGGCTGAAGCGTTATCCTTCCGTGTTCGGCGATGGAGTCTCCCGTTCACTGGGCAGTGAACGATTCGTAGTCTCCTTGGCTAGGCGTGCATGCCTTTCCTGGATATTCATAGCAGCTCTGTCAGAAGCTGCATACGATGCCGCTAGGGACCCTGAATGCTTCTTGAACAGATGGGTCTACTGCAGCTCCCGTGTACTTCGTCAAGGCGACGAAGTTGGATTCGACCATAACGGCGAGCTTGTCTCTCACGTAGAGTACACCACCCCGTTCAGGTATCGCCTGATCATGGCAGAACCCATCATGCAAGGCTACGCTGAAGAAGGTGCAACTCAGGTTATTTTACTCCGCCCATCTTCCCTTGCGGATGGACTATCAAATGGGCATGCTACGCTGTACGACCTCGGCTCTGAGGACCCTACACCTACTGCATCTGTCAACGGTTCAACAGAGAACCTAGAAATTGATGAACGCTTTCTAGCAAGCTCATTAATAGATGGTGGATCTTCCTTCTACCATGCCTCGAACGGGGAACGGAATAGTTCCAACAGTGATGGCTCACCCGAAAGTCAGGGCTTGACTCTCCTGGCTCGACCTTTGTTACACACGATATCTCGGGCTTCTGATGACTATACTATCTACGTGCATACTAATGATCTGTGTCGATTGGGACTGTTGGTCGGCGATTGGGTGGGATTTAATCACAACTGTACTTTGGTCGTAACTCATGAGTTTTCAGGCTACCGCATCATCACATGCGACTGAAAATAAACGCGTCGTTCGTATATGTGTGGACGATAAGGTCAAATGCCGACCGTAAGGCTTTCCGCGAGACTATCTTTGCTGTGCTAAGCTTCACCATTGTCAGAGGTACTTTAGCAGCTTCCCCTGTTCTGCTTCGCAATATCGTACGTGTGTCCTCACATGCGCACCCGTCCGAATTGTGCATACGACTTGCTCCTCTTGGATATGCCCGGCCCACAATTCCTGTGGCCGACGAAGTGACGATTGCCAGGGTCGCTTCTCCTATCACTATTCACCGTGCTTTTCAGCCCTTGGTTCTACGGTCTCTCAAGGACTATTTTGGTGACAATGCACGTCTAGTACTGGAAGGAGATATCATCGTCATGACGGTCAGTACGAACGATCTTTCCGGGTTAGAGCAGGAAACATCCGCTACCGAAAGTGCGGAGGAGGACGAGCCATGGACGCATCCCCGGTGAGCATACAGTCTGCTATTTAAGGGCAACCACCGCTCAACGTCTGCTTCGGGAAGCGGTTTGCATCATGCCACACATTCCGATGAAATAATCTTCTTTGTGGTAACCAAAATTCGGTGCAGCGGGACAAGTACTGGCCAAGCTGCTCAGACTGCCTCCTCGTACATCACTGGGGACGGGACCTTGGGATGCTGGGTGGACTCATCGGTGACCAAAATGGTCCAAGCGGGTATCGAGCACGTGCGGGTCCCTGACATTGCTGGGTACATAGGTGTCGGTAAGCTTGGATTCGGCTTGTGGAGGTCGTATGCGTATGCGATAATGCCTGAGACTAGATCCCCCACCATTGCGTCCTCCCGCACAGCCCCAGACTCAACTAGTCAAGATTTCCGATAAATTATACTCGTTATCATCCGTTGCCTTTGCCGCTCATACCAAGAATTATGATCTCCATTTGTCCGTCCTACTCAAGGGTAAGCGAGGGTGCGGGAAAGTGTTCACTGTTCGACGTGTCGCTCGACACCTGGGAATCCACCTGCTCGAAGTGAGTTCGTCTCGCTCCTCTCTGTTAGTTGTGTTTCTCATTGTCCGCATTTCCAGGTCAATTGTTTCGATATTCTTGGGGATAGTGATGTGAAAACTGAAGGGGCGCTGCGGGCACAGTTTGACAAGGCCGCTTCATGTGCACCCTGCGTTCTCGTGCTCAGGAACACTGATGCATTTTCGTTGGCCACGCAGTCTGAACCTGAGAAAGGTATGTTAATGTAGAGTGTGGCTCGTGACCGAAGCTTCAAAGCACTCTCTGCAGAGACACCGTTGGCTAGTGCATTAAGGGAGTGCATCGATGAAATGCATGAGAAGTGGGACGCGACTGGGTATCCGATTCTGGTCTATGGAACTACAGCAAATCCCGATCGCATGCCAACTAGCTTGCTCTCATGTTTCAAGCATGTAGTTGACTTCGAGGTTCGTACAGCGGGTTCTACCTCCATGTGGAATTTCTCCTACTCACAAGCGCATCCCAGGCTCCAGACGAGTCAACCCGACTGGAACTGATCGATTCACTGGCGACACAACTACCGTACTCCCCGGACGTTTCTCTGTCGGACATCGCGAAGAATACCGCCGCATTTGTCACGAATGATATTGCTCATCTACTGACGTCCTCGAGGTCTTTCGTAATTCAGCGGATAAGGGAAGAGAAGTAAGTGCAAGTTTCTTGCTAAGTGAAACACTGCTCTAAGAGGCTTTAGATTCTCTTCCGCGATGCCGGAGATCCTTCTATGGCTTGCGGGTTGGCAAGTGTCTGCAAGAGATCTAGACAACGCTATAACCAAGGCTAGAGCCGCCTATTCGGATAGCATTGGTACTCCGAAAATACCTAATGTCACTTGGGATGATGTCGGAGGTCTAGTGTCAGTGAAAGCAGAGATTCTGGAGACGATACAACTGCCATTGGAACGGCCGGACCTATTTGCCGGAGGCTTGAAGAAGCGTTCTGGTAAGGATTATCCCCATCCTCGTATCTGATGAGGCTCTGAAGTACATGCAGGCATTCTTCTATATGGCCCTCCTGGCACGGGCAAAACGCTGTTAGCCAAGGCTGTTGCAACGTCATGCTCTTTGAACTTTTTCTCGGTAAAAGGTCCTGAGCTCTTGAACATGTACATCGGGGAATCTGAAGCCAATGTTCGTCGGGTCTTTCAACAAGCCCGGGACGCGAAACCCTGCGTTATCTTCTTTGATGAATTGGACTCCGTCGCGCCTAAGCGGGGCAACCATGGCGATTCCGGGGGCGTGATGGATCGCATTGTCAGTCAACTTCTGGCTGAACTGGACGGCATTTCTGGAGAAGGTAGTGCTGATTTGTTCGTGATTGGGGCGACAAACCGACCGGATCTTCTGGACTCCGCATTACTCAGACCCGGCAGGTAAGTCAAGGCGATTTGTTTGGAAGGTCTTCCTGTAAACATCTCCCAGATTTGATCGTCTGATATACCTGGGTGTGAGCACGACGCACGAGGCTCAGCTGGACATCATCAAGGCTCTTACCAGGAAATTCAAGCTGCATCCAACTCTCGATCTACGCTCTGTAGCCAATCAGTGTCCCTTCACTTACACTGGGGCCGACTTCTACGCACTCTGCTCTGATGCGATGCTGAACGCCATGTCGCGCAAAGCAGGGGAACTCGACGATAAGTTAGGTGCGCTAACAGCCGCTTGTGTGACCCGAACATGTCTGAAAATTCAATCCGTGCATAGTCGCATTAAACCAGTCGCCGCCCTTAAGCAATCACCCCTACCCTCTCACACCGCAATATTATCTTGCTGAGATGGCAACCTTAGAGGATGTGGAAGTTGTTGTCATGCAGGAGGATTTCGAGCAGGCTCTTCGTGCTCTGATTCCTAGTGTCAGCCAATCCGAGATGGATCATTATCACAGAGTTCAATCGCGATTTTCGAAAGGATCGCAGGAAGGGGTAAGTCTCGTGCATGTATCAGTTAATAGAATACATTGACAGTCTCTGCTCAGATCTAGATGTGATAACAGGGTGTCAGCGCTTTAGAACCATTTGCTGGGTTTCAATCCAATACGGTCCAGTACGCCCCGGAAGTTCTGGGGCATCAATGCCGCAAGGGCTGTCGTAGAGCGCAGTTTAACTGGCGTCCCGGGAATCTCCAATCTAGCGAGAGCTGTCCGTTAGTAGAGAGCATTTCCCAACAGTTGTACGGATCTTACTTGTAAGTAGACTTGCCGTCTACGAGGAGTTCTAGGTGTACAACAGGTTTGTTCGCGTTTGTGGTATCCACTTCCAAGGCGGACCTACCCAAGGCAACAGATAAGACCACTCCCTTTCATACAAGCCTAGGACAGCTCTCACCATTTATGATTGCCTATGGGAACATACTTAATGACCCTTTCTTTCGGGACTTCGTCAACGACCGTCACGGTGTCATTCAATCCCTCTTCAGTAACTATGACTTCCGTGCGGATCTTGCGCACGACTGCTTCAGACCTTGGCTTCAAAGTCCTGATGAACGGCACGTAGAACATATTTAGCGGGCTTGTCGAGACCTCCAGGATGGGGTACCCGTGCTCAGCAGTGAACTCTATCACTGCGAACTCATGGCGATCACCGGAGAGGAAGATGACGTTTGGCACCGTATGTAAGACATCTAGCAGGCTCGCCTTCTCATGCTCGAAGGCAGCCCAAGTATCGATCTGGCCTTCGTACGTCCAGAGTGAGGTGAATGGCACAGAGGTCACGATGAACTTGAACGTGGCGGTCGAGTTTACCTGATCAAGTGCAGGTGTCGTTAGGTATGGATGTCACAAAGATAATGGGCATTACAGCACCTTTCCGAGCCAATCGTACAACGCTGCAAGCTGCTGATCTCCGAGCATCGTGCGGCTCTCGACGTCCTCCGAGTTGATATCGGATCGATAACGCCTGGTGTCCATGACAAAGAATGCAACATCTCCATAACGGAAGTCGTAGTAATACTTGTCATTTCCCGCGGACTCGTAATTAGCTGCGGCGAGATATGTCTCGTATGCTCGAGCAGCGGTGGGATAGGGATCAATAGAGTCACTGCCTTGTCCCGCGAAATTGTTGATAATCTGGACGAAAAGTTAGGTCACCGCCAGCATGCTCTGTTAACGAACGTACCTCGTGATCGTCGTAAACATGGAAAATAGCTGAAATTGCTTCTAGATATAAGAGGTCGGGTGATCATTGAAGAGAACTCACGTAGTTTCTCGTACACCTTCCTGAAGCTCGGGCTATTATACGTCCTCCGATACAACCGGCGATACGCCTCTTCGCTGTCGCCGAAATAGACAGGCACATCGGCATAGATGAAGTCACCCAGGAACAACATGAATTCAACGGGAACCCCCTCGGGAGAATCAGTCGCCTCAGAGAGCGACGGTGACGCGGACGGAGACGGAGACGGAGATACTAAGGAAGAAACCACTGAAATCGCCGTAGAGATAGCAGGCTCAGAGCTCGACGTGGTCCCCACAAAAGCCTCTGACGCATTGGCCACAACGAGCTTGGCTGTCTCCAGCGACTCAGACAGTACAGACTTGGCTTTTCCCGCAGCTTCAGTTAAATTCAGCACTGGCTTGCGAGGCCAGATATAGTCGGCGAGAAGATCGTAGCCTTTGATCGTCCTTCCTTGAAAGGGCAGGTAAGGGAAATTCAGTGTGGTGCATGACGTGAATACGAAACGAAAGTGGGACCCGTAGGTAAGTCGGGGGTCAGGGAAGGTGCGGAAGCGGATAGGACTGGCGGGGTATGGTAGGATATCGGGCTCGCAAGGCGCATTGCAGCGCAGTCTGTCTATTGGTGAGTGTCAAGTGAGTATAACGATGACCCGATGTGATAAGGGAGGCGACGGACATTCATAGCTGGTACTCGGTGACAAATCAGCCAGCTTGACCGTATTCGTCCAATCGTCCTCGGCGCTAAGTGGCACCAAAGGTCCGTCTTGCCACCGCGCTACGTGCATGACACTATCCTGCTTTACTTGCCGATATTGCACTTGCAGAATGCTTTCGGTCACGTTGTGATCATAGGGGTAAGGATACCTGACAGCTAACTTGACAGCATCAGGATACACAGCTCCAACACGAGTAAAGGTGACGTCTTGAGCAGCATCGAAGTATGGGTACGCCGTGAAGTCAACAGCCGCCAAGAAGAGGAGGGTATTGAGAGCTAGATTTGTTATCCGTAACTTCGCAATTGGGGTGGGCAGAGAGAAGAGGATGGTTGAGAGCGTATCGGGGCTCTGAGGCTGAATATACTCAAGACGTTAGGAGAAGCTGATGAAAGCCGCCTAACTATCGGGGACTTACTGAAGTCACCTTCACAGCTCTCACTTCAGGCCGTTCGTCCTTCGCTTTCTCCTCGTTTCCATTTGCAGGCTCGATTTTCGTGGACTCTTCCAGTGGTATTGCGGAAAGAGAGTATGTCAGGAGGTACAATGAATACAGGACCGGTATGACCGGTACAGCGAGATGATGGGGAGCCTAGTGGTTTCGTGAGGTTCGAAGAGTGAACCGTACAATCTACGGCATGCAACCACTTACGACTCGGAGGTAAAGGTAGGTTATCGCCCGCAGTGCAGTCGAAACTGCAGCATTAAAATATCTCAGCGCTCCCATACGGGGCGTTGTATCGTCGCAGTCGTGCAGAGAAAAGTGTTAGGTAGCCAGGAGTAAACGGAAAGGACGCAATGCACGAGAGGCTACTTACAGACTGCAGCATTGCACAGACGTCATCACAGTATTATTTAGGTCCATTTCTGAACTTATTGATGTTATCCCACGGGCTGGGAATTAATTCAATGTTTCGTCCAGATCATGAAGCTGCTCTGCCGCCATGGGTGCCGGTCAATCCAAAGCTGAGTCGGACGAGCATGTGTTCCACAGCGAAACACCAATACAGGCGAGTCGTGGTCTGCATCGAAACGTGTAGTCTACTGAGTATTTTGCAGTTCTCGGAGGAGGTCGTGAACAACCTCTCGGACAATCTCGCTTCTCCGGACACTCCTCCCGAGAGGCAGTCATCCCTCGATGCCCACATCCGTTCTAGGATTCAAGTCGAGCTCGCTCGCCTCCGTGAAGAGGAGGAGCATGTGCGGGAAGAAATAGAACGTGCCCTCGAGAAGGAGAACCTTGACCGCGAGAGGGACATGGCCGGTGACGAGACAGACTCCGGAGTTGGCCAGGTCAAGAGCACCACCGCTTTACTCGGCGATGTGGACGAACTCCGGAAACAAGTTGAGAGGTTCCACTCCAAGAAGGACGACGACGACTTTGTTGCTGCTAGGTTGAAGAGTGAGGCTGTGGTGCAATGTTACAAGTATGCATCCTGAGTTTCCCCCACTGTTGATATTAGCTTACGTTACTCAGAAACAACCCTTCGACCACGCTAGACTGCTGGAAACAGGTCGACGAGTTCAAGGCTTCCGTAGCTCACTTGGAAGAGGTAACGTTCCCCAAACCTCCACTATTAACAAGTGACGTATCTGAAATGTACTTTACAGCGCTACGTAGAATCCCTACGGTAATAATACACGTCCCATGCTACTTTACTTCTTCACTGCATCACCTATCGTAAGAGACCCAGGCATTACAACATCGTACATTCATTTGGAATCGTATCATAGAAGGTCCGTCCAGTTTGTCCGAAGTCATCAGATAATTATAAAAAGTCCCAAATCTCTGTCCATCTCGTCATGGGTGTCATGACTCATTACTCGCCTCGGTAAGAATGGCGCATATTCATCCCATCGGTCGTGCGGTCCTCCTAGGGCGATCGGACGTCGTCCTTAGAGGACGTCCAGATGTCTTCGTGGCATGCAGCGACGCCGCGTTCGGAGGACGCTCTGGTGTCGTCTTCGGGGACAGTTCCATTGCTACCTTTGTAACGCGTGTCGATGCTGCCTTTGGAGGTGACTGTGGCATCGTCTGCGGGGGACATTCTGGTGCAGTCTCTGGATGATGCTCTGGCACAGTTTCGAGACGCTGGTCCACTGCAGCCTTCGGATGACGCTCCGGCGTTCGACCCTGTTGCTGGGATACAGCTACGGGAGGCAGTGGCTGTAGAGTCGGAGGGGGAATAGGTTCATCCGGCTGCGAGTATACGGACCCGGAGCTGCGTGTCCACGTCGACAGCCTGCGCGGATCGAGCGCCGAGAAAAAGCCTTTTGAATCTCGCTCGATATGTGGCTCTCCGCTCTGCGTTGAGTACACGGACTCGGAGCCCACCGTGAGCGTTGACGCCTTATGTTCCAGGCGAGGGATCAAGCCTCTGTCCCAGCGCACTGTCGGAATACGAGACGCACTGCCAAAGGGCACGCCTGTCGGTGCAACACCTGGGCGAATAGGTTCTTTCTTTGATGGCTGTTCCTCATCAGTGGTGATTGCTATCCCCTGCACATGTACAAAGCAGTCCTTCGTCGGCGTAGGCTCCCTGTTGTCTGCCAGAGGGACGGTTTCATCACCGCTTTTGCGGCGGAGCGAACCCGCGAATTTGACCTTCCTGTCCGGCTTGGGCACAAGCGCAGAGGGCAAGTACGGGTAGGTGGTGCCAGTGTAAGCATTTCTCCGTGTGTTTTCTTTGGTCGTGAGCATTTTCCTCTGTAGGACAATGCAAGCTTCAGTACTCCACCACTCGGGTTGCACACATTGAGGAGACATTCTTACCGCCTCCCTCCATCGCTTTTCATTCTCCCGCTTGATCGACTTTCCCCACCAAGTCCAGCCGATCACAGCGATCAAGGCCAGAAAGACACCTCCCGCTACGCCACCGACTATCGACGGTACGGGGATGTTCTGTCCTGGCGTCGCCGATGTCGATACCACCGCCGTGGGTGAATCCCCAATGTACGAGGTAACGGTGACCACTAAGACATTACTCCATCAGTCTACAGTCCCAACTGTACTAGTGATGAAGATCTAGCTCGCCTGGAGTGTCAGGAGATCGGGCGTCCAGCTGCAGAGCAGGCATCGTAACTCAATGACTCATGAGAGAGCGCTGGAAACAGCTGCAGCGCTTTATGGTGATTCATATACAAAACTTGGCACCTCGTGTTTCCGAACAAGAATACTCGTGGACTAGAACATGCCTTTATTCTGGGAAGGCTGTAAGGGAGGGCTGGCGTCATCTGGTGAGATAAGCTGTGCCGCGATGGGTCAAAGCCACAACGTGTGATACTATGAGATAGTTTGCTTCCGAGTTGTGGATCTAGGCGCACCCTGTCCTATCCTCGAGCATGGGGCTGCTGGAGTATTGCGATAATATGATTCAACAGTGGATAGAGTACGTTAGCTGTGATATACAAAGGCCTATAAAAACAGGTCGAAGACGAGGACAACGTCGTCGACGATGGAGCGGGAAAACATCACTGCTCAGCTGACTCCGCCTCAGCGAGTGCCGCCTCGTTCAGTGCCTCAGCCTCAGCCATCAACTTCTCTTCCAGCGCAGATACCCGTGCTAGGGCCTCCTGCCGCTCATTCTCCAGTTCGGCATACCTGCCTTGCAACATCTTCTCGCGGCTCTCGAGTCTGTCCACTTCCTCCTTGAGAGCAGCAACGCGACGCGGCCCAACAGCGCTTTCGTTCGTGCGAAGTTGTGAGAAGCTTTCCAGTTCGACCTTAACTTTGTCGGCCTCAGTCCATGCGGTGTTTATGCGCGAGGTCAAGGCTTTGAAGCGAGCCTGATAGCCACCTAGCGTAACGCCTAATTTCTTCTCGATTTTAGCAGACTTGCTTGCTTCCTTGGACATTTGCTCCCTGATCTCATCTAGGGATGCGGCGAAACCCGCGACCCGCTCTTCGTCCGATAGTGTGGAGGGCGCAACCCAGGTCTTCGTTGAGACGTTGTAGACAAGGCGTGGTCGCATGAATGCCCATGATACTGTCTCATCCAGGGGTTCGGTCTTCGATAATGAGGCTATACCCTCTTTGAGATGCTGCTCGCTTGCATTCGGAAAGCCTAGTGCCGACGCCAACTCCATATGAATCTGGGATTTAGCGTCTGCGACAAGTTCATCAGGGGGCATGTCATACGAGGACATTGTACTGCCTGCTAAGGACGTGCCCGGAAGAGGATGAACGATAGAGTCATGTTGCAGCAGTTCGGCAAGTTCCAAATTCATTAATCGCCGCGCTTGCTGTAAGCCGTCCTCTTCATCATCCATAGTCAACTTTTGCAAGAGCTGTGTAACATCAACGTTAGGAGGCCGAGGAAGCCCTCGTTGGACAGGCTGAGAGCGCCGTGCCAGTGCCTTCCTTTCTTCTTCCTCTTGCTGTTTTCGTATCCGGGCATCCCGTTCCGCGGCATCTTCTTCAGTGATAATAGGGCCTTCCGCTGTCTCAGCAGATTCTTCGTCTTCAGGAACCAGGAGCTCGAAGTTGTTCTCGGGCCTCGGCAAGGACATGAAACCAGCGCGAAGGGCTCGTTTCGCTGACGGATCATACTGCATACGTCTGGGGGTTTCACTCGGTGTAACCATCCCGTCGCCGGGGTTGATACTGAGGTTATCCCTCATAGGTGTGCGAAGGGGTGTCGCTCCATTCATAGACTGGATATCCGTACTGGGTGTCGCCGAGCCATCTATCAGATTACCTCTCGCGGGGGTCGCCAGCGGGTTGGGGGTGAAAGATACTTGATGCCGAGGAGTCGCACTTTCAAATCCAGTACCCCCGTCAGGGCCCACGTGGAGCGGCGTATTTTCATCGCCGAGCAGAGGCGTCTGTTGGATCTGCATATTCCGCAAGTTCCGAGCCTCAGTCATGACGTTGTCATCTGCGATGAACACCGTCAGCGCTATGCAAAGGATCCCCGATGACAAGAAACACATACGCTGAGGCGCTGTCCGTGGCGTTCGGGCCATCTTCGCCCTTTCTAGACCCTCATAGTCGCTCAGCAGCCCACCACTCGCTTCACTACCACCTTGAACCAAAGCTTTGGCGTTCTCTCCAGCTTGACCAATTTTGACAATTTCTTCCAACTCAGCTTCGTTGACTTGGGCGGCAGGGAGCTGGAGCTTCCGTCGGCGGCCAATGGATTCCGCCTCCTTCAGCTTCTGTATTTGTGCGTCTCTGGCTGGCACAAATTTTGTCTGATGTGGTTCGTTGCCCGCTTTACCTTCCTGGGCTTTCCGCTGCCGTTTCCTACGTTCGGCCTCTTCTTCTTCCGGCTTCCGCTTGTTTTCCAGTCGACGGAGTGTCTGGCCAACGGGGGCTGTGGTCGGGCGAGCCTGTTCCTCAGAAGTGTCATAGAAGCCGGGTGCAGGTTTCTTCTCAAAGGGAATATCGGCATTATACTGGAAGCGGAACGAAACATATCAGATCGGGTAATCATGAGATAGATTACCATACGTACATCCATTCCCTTCTTCTTTGATTTGTGTCGCATACTGCATCATCATCTAGTTAGTAAAATCCGGTCTACGGCTATATGATGTAGTAAAGTTCACTAACATGATACCAGCCGCTTTCAGCTCCCGTTTCTTCTGCAGCATGGCGAGACGCCTAGCCTCCTCCAATTGACGCTCGCGAGCTTTACGCTTCGCCTTCTTTCCCTGGGTATTCGCTAGGCGGGCACGGGCTTCCGACAGCATCTCCTTCTCTGCGCGCGTGCGAGAACTGTTGAAAAGACTTCGCGACATGTAAGAGAACATCGCACGTACCATCTTCGTCCATATCGATAGGATCTGGTCGAGCAGGCTTCGTCTCCGGATCGACGTCAATCTCCCCCGGTCTGAGTTTCCTGACATCTTCAGCACTGGGACCGGAGTCTCCCGGACCTGTCAGACCGAGCTCTTCGTGCTCCTTCGCTTCCGCTTCGTCTAGCAGCTTTTGATACCGTTCCAGACACTGCGTGGCGGTCCGACCCACTATGGGAGCGATGGTTCGCCACTGAGTAGGCATCAACTTTGCCAGATGCAGGAGCTTTTCATCCTCGGTCTGGCAGAGCAGGCATGTCAGCGCACCATGGTAGAAACCAGTCAACCTCTCGTCACCTTTGACCACTCTGTCTTCTTGATGGACGGGTCCAACCACTCGTACCATCGGGCTTTGCATTGCTTGGGAGTCTTTCGCACCAACAGGGACGAAATACGGGCCCTGGGACCAACAGTCAGATGTTAGTTCAATAGTAGTGTGCATAGTGTGCGCACCATTGGTTCTTCCCATACTTTGCGATCGCGGCCTTCAGCACTTCATCCTCCGTGTTCTGGCAAGACAGTTAGGAAGCCTCGGCGTGTCATGGCACGCCACGTACCTTCCAAACCCCTTACAAGCGATACTGCATGTCAGAAAGCGCGGCGAGCCTAAGGGAGATACGACATACCTCCTTTGATGATTATCCGAACCATTGTAGACCCAATGGAATGTCGCGGTCGTGAGCAGAGCTGAGTGGGAGCGCCGATGACTAAGCAGCAGCAGGTACGAACACGCCACGTGGGAGTCCACGGACAGGTCCTTCTGGGACTGGTCTCAGTTACCCGATTTGACTGCTGTGGCTGTTGGTCACTACCGTCCTCGACGGATGAGCCCTGTGTATTTGAGAGTGAGCTGTAGCTGCCTGATTGGCTATAAACATTAACGATGATTCCAGCGCTCTCTCGGATACCACGGCCATCACTGGTCGAGTGAGTTGGGGATGATTTCCGCAGAGCAGCCCTCATTGCTGGTGGGAGAGGAGAGGGTATACAATGCATGCGGATCGAGGCAGATTGATGCTGTGAGTTATCAGATAATATATTTACCGCTATGACATCTGTTAGAGACCGATGCGGATAAGGGGCGGATAGTGGGGCATTGATGGGAAAGGACGGTTGTATGTAAGATGGGGGGACTAGGACGCCGGGCTGGGAGGCGTACGGGTGCGAGTTTGAGAGGGACGTAGAACGGCTCGTCCACGGTGTCTTACCCAAGGGAACGTGTCAGTTGACGTGCGAGGCCAGTAGTCCCGCAACCGTCCTCCGCTCACCTGCCCTCCTTTCCCGCATTTCCAACCGGGGATGCCATAGCCGCGGTCGTGATAAACCCTGTTTTAACGCTGCACAGACGCCCTGCGGATCGTCAGCCAGTCCACGCCCAGCGCATGAGACGCAATAATAAATGCCGACGTTCCCATCGGCGGTTATCATCAGTATTGGGACGATGTGAGCAGCCATAGCTTGTCTGGCGCATAAAGCTGCCGGGAGAACAAAGGGACATGAAACACAGCACATCGGACGGGGGATGGCGGCCGGGGAACCTTAAGTGGCCGGGGACAGCCCGTCGGGTTGGTTGCCGGAGTGCCGGATCCGGATATAGGCTAGGACCCCGGACTTTTCGGTGAACGCCGGTCGACGATGTATCTTGTAACACCGGACCCCATCGCTTTCTTCTCAACTCTACCCTCAGCATCCGCTCTGCCATCTCCTCGCTGTCCTCGTCGTCCTGCTCGTTGCCGGCACCGTCCAGCAGCCTCTTCTCCGCGTCCCAGACGCTCTTGTTCCTCCCCACCAGGCCCTAGTTCGCCGTCTGCTTCATAATCGGGCCCCCGGTTGTCAAACAGTTGCCGATTTCCTACTTGATTACCGCAATGGAGTCGATGCCCATGTCCGCCCAACCAGAGCAGCAGAATGACGAATCTCAGGCCTCTTCGTGTGTCTTGCACTTACCACGTAATTGAATCTTCTCTCATATCTGGATTCAGCTCCAACAGACCGCCCGTCGTGCGAGGGGCGAGGGCATGTACAGTATGCCGGGCTGCCAAGGTCAGTTGTACTTCCAACCCAAGTGCAACCCGGGCGTCTCAGTCATTGTCAGATGAAATGTGTTGGCTCCGAGGATGGAACAAAGCAATGTCAGCGTTGCAAGCGGGCTGGTGTAGAGTACGTGCCTCATCAGCTCTATTGATTCCTGATATTGATGCCGCCCTTGCTTGTCAGGTGTGTCTTTGAAAAACACCGGCGAGGCCGAAAGCCGGGGTCAAAGTACGTTCTATCCGCTGCTGTCATCTGAGTCCTGCTTTATCTTCCATCTCATAGGCTATCTGAGGCCTCGAAGATGCTTCGTCGGCTGGAGAAGGGACTTAACAGTGCGAAGCTCAAGTCTCAGGCCAACGAGATGGCCATGAGTTCTCCTTACTCTGCGGGAGATTCACGCGGTAGTTTATCCGACTCCTCGCAATTTCCCAGCATGATGCGTACCGGCGATCAGTTCGGGTCCCCGTCCTCGCAATATCAAGGATCTCACCAACTCCCTCCCCTCCAGTTGCCTCCTCTCCACGGGGGTGATGTCCAAGCCCGTGGCTCCAGGTCATCTATTGACATTGACGAGGACGGGGACGCGGATCGCCCCGACGACGCCATGTATCCTGCCAAGCTGATACGCAAGGAAAATCAGCGTAACTTGTTCTTGGAGACGATCCTCAATCCACGCCATGAGACGCCTTCCGCCGCGGCGTCTACTCCCAGCGCTTCTGAGCGCTCTACTGGGTTTTCGCCCTCCTTGCCGGCGGCGCCGCCCGTACCTACTCCGCCTGGTGGACTCGCCGATCCCATCGCGGCCGGCATTATAACTGAGGAAGACGCCAGAACGTTATTCGATCTTGTTTACTTAAGGCTGAATCCGTTCATTTGTCTCTTCGACCCCGCTTTGCACTCTGTTAATTATGTCCGATCGAGGTGCCCTTTCTTGTTTACTGTCCTTATCATGGCCGGGTGCAAGTTCTTCAGGGCAGAGTTGTACAAGCCTTGCCAGAAGCTGGCCAATGAGCTGGCAGTGCGTGCATTCGCTGAAGGCTGGAAAAGCGTGGAGGTCGTCCAGGCCTTCGCTTGTCTGTGTTATTGGAAAGAGCCAGATGACACCGTAAGCGTGTCGCTATACCTGCTCGGAATCCAGCACTAAGATACACCTTTAACAGCGCACATGGATGTATATCGGTTATGTAAGTCATCCTGGACTCTATATTAGCGTATGTTCATGAGGTATCCAGGCCTGCCGAATGGCTGTTGACCTAGGCTTGAATCGTTATGTCCCTAACCCGTTGCCGACCGAGACAGAGTTCCAACGTCAAGAGCGTCGTAATCGTGAGAGGACGTATCTCGTGCTGTTTGTTCACGATCGTAGTCTCAGCATGCAGACTGGCAAGCAGTGGATGCTTCCCGAGGTCAGCCGGTTTTCGACAGCGTTTGCGAGATATTTACCTTTCCAACAGGATGACTTGGTACGAAACTCACTTACCTGGCATGAAGAGGGTGGGGAGCCCATTCGTCCGGAAGATGTCATCGTTGCCGCGTTCGTTCAGTTGAGACGCATCGCTGTAAGTTCTAGCTGTCGTCTATTGAATCGGTTATTGAGCATCCGTTCAGGCCGAAACCACAGATGTCTTCTATCTCCACAAAGGAGTTTCCGGCGCGCAGCATACCGATGTCAATTACGAAGTCCTTCTCCGTAACTGCAACACTAAATTGACCAAATGGATGGATAACTGGGAGCATGAAATGCGGAGAGGTGCGAACAGTCTCGATCCAGATGTTGCACATGAGGTCTCATCGTGATCGCTTGCAGCCGGCGGCGAGAAGTTCCATTTCTCCTTCCTTAGTTTCTTCCGGCTGCATGTCCGGCTGTTCCTCAACAGCTTCGGCATCCAAGCGTCTTTGTCGCCAGTAGGTTGGCGCCCTTAGTTTGCCGAACGTCATACTCACAGTGGCGCCGAATACACAGAGCAGTCGCGCAAGTCCCAGTCTCCAGGCGCTCTCTGCTTGCTATACCAGTGCCTTGGACACGTTGACTATAGTCACGAGGGACTTCGCATCCATGAGCATGCTTGTGAGTCCACCTTGACTGCTGACCAGCCGATGGTACCTGACCACTCCTACTCAGCGTTATGGCCAAGATTCCATCACTGTCATGACAGCATACTCGGCAGTGTTCTTGTTGAAGGTCGATATATCAAGGTTGAATATTTTAGAGTCGTATGCTGACCTGTTGACAGTTGCTCCGCAGCTCCAATACATTGGCTGAGCTTCATGACGACGCCACGAAAGATATATATTCGGTCATATCAAGCACGGCGGATGCCTACCAGGAAGCATCTGCCCTGTCCCCGGCGTCCACGTCAGCGGCATATCATGCACGTTTCTTGCGGAGCCTCGTAGCCAATGATATCTTCAAGGCCCGCCAGACCGAAAAGGGCAAGCAGGACAAAATGTCGATTGATCCCCGGCTCCAGGGTAAGCTATCATTCATCCTCCTCATTGTCGGCTGGCTAACTCCGAACTAGGTGTCTCGTCTTCACGGCCCGTTGCCTCTCCCGGCGAGCCGCCGCAATCAATGTACCCTCAACCAATGGTATATCACCACACGTTCCGCTTCCCTGCTTCTCCTAATCTCCCTGCCCACCCATTGGCACAGGAGCCTGGGGCCGCCCATGTTGGTGTGGGCGGCACTCCTATGGCCAATAATTATGCACCATATGTCAATAGCCACTATCCCACCCAGCCCCATAGCGAGCTGGATGCTCACTATTGGCGCAATATGTTCATGGATCTCGGGTTCGGGGAGACCGTTGAATCGACGCCTTTCCGAGGTGGCCCTCCGCCAGGTGCAGGCTATGTCAACGTTGATTCGGTTCGGTCCTCTCAGCCTTTACAGCATCGCAGTCCTCCTCAATTGCCTTCGTATCACTATATGCAATCTTCCGCACCTGGATTCGGACATTGATTGTATAACTCAGCTTGGTCTTTCCCATATCGTGCCCGTGTAATAATCGCTGTCTGTTATTAGGCTCGTCCTGTTCTTTCGCCCTGCTTTCCACTCCACACGCTATCTCGTGTCTCAAGAAGGTGTACGTACAACTTATTATATCTTTGTCATAGTTCACTGTCTCTTTCAATTGTCGAGCGCATTGGTAGTTCAGGTTGCCCGCTTATGCTATGGTAAATACGAATGTCGTCACGCGGTTCCCTGTGCAGTATCTATTGTATTCCGTTATACTACAATACAATTGTGATAACTCCGATGGTCCGCAAGCTGGTCAGAGCCCGCTCCATTCGAATGAGTCGTTTAGTTCGAAATGGGTTTGCAAAGGTAGGTTGTCGCTGCTCGTTCCGGCGTACAGAACATATCGGCCTGCTGAAGCACGCCAGGAATGGTTGGGCGTATCCCAGAAGGAGACAGCATATTTATCCAGAGATATCTTGATCTGTCTGCTTTCACCAGGCGAGAGGTCCTTGGCCTTGGCAAAAGCCCTAAATTGTCGTTTCGGAGTCGTGACGCCAATATCGGGATAGCCGATATAAACTTGAATAACCTCTGAACCTTTTCGCGATCCTATGTTTTGCACGGTCACGGTCGCCTGTAAACTAAATAGCTTGGTGGATGTCATCGTGACGGATAGGTCCGACAAGGAGAACTGAGTGTAAGACAATCCGAACCTGCCGGTTGACATAAGATTCTAGCATGTCACTCAGCACAGAGATCACGACCCACCCGAATGGGAAAAGAGGCTTTATTCCTTTCGACTCGAAATACTTATAGCCCACGAACAAGTCTTCGTGGTAGTGAATTTTGCCGTTTTCGCTGTGCAGATTCGGATACGCCGGAATGTCCTCGTAACGGACGGGCAACGTCAAAGACAAGCGTCCAGAAGGGTTTACGTTGCCGTAGAGCACGTCTGCTAGGGCATTTCCCACTTCGTTGCCCGAATACCAGGCTTGTAGCAGGCCATGCACAGCGCCGACCCAAGGCATAGAGACGGCAGAACCCTTTCACCGCTTTAGTGATACACCTCATACAGAGGAAGTAATACTCACAGCTTGGACGCAAACCACTGTGTTCGGGTTAGCTTTGGCTACCTTTGCTATTAGCTCGTCTTGTCGTCCAGGCAATTGTAACGTCGGTCTGTCAAAGCCTTCGCTCTCCCATTCGGGGGTCAGCCCAGCAACCAGAACGACCGCGTCGCTTTGCGACGCTAGAGTGACAGCCTCGTCAATGGCTTTTTCTGGGTCAATTTTCTCCGCGCCTCCAAGCCGCTGGGATCATAGCGTGAGCCTTGTAAGCACCGCTGCATAACACTCATACCAATACGCACGACACCTCGCATCAGCGCTGGCTGTGAGTCCGGTTTCGCTTCCTCGTTATCAGAAGCTGGCGGGAATGTGTTTGTGTATTCCATCAACACTGTTCTCGCTTTCCCGGCCTCGAACTTTAGGACAGCAGTCTCTTCCACAGTGCCTTGGCTGCCAACGGTTTAGACAAACGAGGTATGAGACCACGGCGCGCGTCACTGACCCGTAGAAGAATTCTCCTTTAGTTTGTTTCGTCCAGTTGTCGATCGTCAAATTGCCGTCAACCCATAGCTTTGCACGGCCTTAACACAACAAGAACCAGTGAGCTTTTGAAAGCGGCGAGTCTCTTCTCGGCACCTACCAGCGACAGTGAGACCCAGCTCGTACTCCGCAGTCTTATCGAATGAAAGCAATCCTTCGACTTTGATTGTCCACGTCGGAGTAAGGCCGGTAGGAAGGAAGTCGTTCAGCCTGATTCTGGTATCTTGCAGAACGAAGTGCGCCAACTCTTCCTCGACGGGGTTGCCGTTATCATCGTGATTGTAGAAGGTGCAGACCCAGCCGGGTTTCCCATCCTTCGTCTTCAGGTTATTCTCCAGAGTAGGCAGGTACCTGTGGGCTTCGGACTGTTCCATAAACGTCCGCATTCCCTGGGCGAATGGACTTACCATAGCAGCCGACGCTGTATTGAAATTCGATGCCCTCGGGTGCGTTGTCGAGTATCCCCTGGTAGGGCGTGACAACATAAGTCGGTTTCAAGGCAGCACTTCCTCCACCTGAGATCACTCTGCCCTTCGCATTCGGCCCAATGATCGCAACCTTCTTTACTTTTTCCTTTCGTAGTGGGAGTAGGTCCCCCTCATTCTTCAGCAGCACCATGCCGTCCGCAGCAAGCTTCCTGCAGAACTTCCTCGCTTCGGGCGAGTCTCGCGAGCGCTCGATACCATCACCGTAGACGATGTCTGGGTTGACACGAGACATCTTCTGGACAAACGACAGCAGTGTAGAGACACGCGTGTTCAGGGTCTTAAAGGACGTCTTTTGTGCGGTGAGGGAGTGGTTGACGAGGAGGGGCGTGCGCCACCTCGGGGGCCCGGGCATCTCGAGGTCGAGGCCGGCGTTGAGGGCTTCTGCCACGCTGTACGTTCCGTACCTAAGGAAATCCAGATCAGGGGGTTAGCGGGTACGCCCGAATATTGAGGACGTACCAGTCACTCATGACCAGGCCATCAAAGCCCCATTCTTTACGGAGGATGTCTTGAAGGAGCCGAGGATTCTCAGAGCAGTGCACGTTATCGATCCGCCCGTACCTGGTAGACTGTGTGATAGGTTTTATCCTGTTCATGCGCGCTTCTACTACTTACGAGGTCATGAACGCCCATGGCTTGGCATCTCTCTGCGCTAGCATGAATCTACCGAGATATGTTTTAGATGCATGGTATATGGGTGTTTTCTTCCTTACGGGTACAGGTAGACCTCCCGCAGAGCGCGCTCGGATACTACGGAATCGGCAGCTGTACGCTCATGCTCCTGGTCATTGGCGACAAAATGCTTAATGGTCGCTGCGACACCGTTCTCTTGCAAACCATTCACGTATGCGGCAGCCATAGTACCTTCAAATAGGTTTGTTAGGTTGTATCCCAAGGTCCAGGATTCGTCGTCTCACCTGAAAGATGGGGATCCTCGGAGAACGATTCAAATGCTCGTCCCCCTAGTGGATTTCGCTGGATGTTGCAAGTCGGGGCCAGGAGGATCACAGAGGACTTGATCTTCGTTTCTTCGGCCAGGAACGCACCCACTTGGTGGATGAGTTCCGGGTCGAACGTGGCGGCCATGGCCGTAGCACACTATCGTGATACTTAGGCGGACAGAAATAACCATTGCAGATTCACGTACCGGAAGACATTGAGCTGGGGTCGATTGAAAGTGAGAGGAGCCCCTGACGCCCTACATTCTATCGGATCAGGGACGTAAATTCAGCGGACGAGTCGAATCATACATTAGGCCCGTCACTCATACGGACTCCTGGAATCTCAAGGCGTTCGATAGCATGCGTATTCCACCAATTCGGGGCGCCCAGTAACTGGACTTTCTCTTCCGTCCTCAGCTTCTTGACGAGATTGGGCACAGAGGCGTCCAGGAAAGAGCGGTTTTTTGGCTGCGACATGGCTAGCACACCATTAACTGGGTTCACCTCTAGGTGACTGCAGTCAATGCTCAATTGCAGGGGCGAGGAGCCCGGGTTCTTATACGCATAGGAAGGGAATGTGTCGGGAGATAGTCGGACAAATCTGTGCAATGGAGGGGAAACCGCTGGTCATCGGGCTCCGGCTTGGCCAGAGACGTTGTCTGCTCATTCGATAGCGCAGACGTCGGTCAGCGCTGCCGAGTGAGAGACGAACAGCTGACGGCCTCGACGGTGGTTGGATTCATTCGAGCAACTAAAGAAAGCATGCGCACATGTTCAGCCACAGCGACCGGAATCGGACGAATCGTCCTCATTAGTCCTTTGGTCTAGCATGTTCTGGCCGTCCCTACGACGCTGCAAGATGGCATTTCTACTGTTGCATCCGATAAACAGCCCCCTTTAATCACTGTCTGCATTGCATTCTGGCAAACATAAACTACGATTCCTACCTCGACTAGTCTCGAACTGTAATGTCCGACTACGACCTGCCGACAAACCTTGCACGTCCAAAGACTTCCGCGGTCCTGACTCTGCGGATAATCAAGTCCTTCGAGTTCCGGACAGAGAAGAATCTTGTCCTGAAGGATGTGAATCTCGAGAAGGTGACGGTTGGTGAACTGAAGGAGATGGCACGGCAAGGTTCGTCTCTTCGAATTTCCAATGTTGTATAGGCTAGTAATCGATAGCGTAGCCATTCAGACGCAGCCTGGATGGAAGCCATATCGTACTGTTCACTATGGTGAGTCTTACATAGTTCTCTGTTCGTATGGAATACTCAGGTCACCCTCTATAGATACGTTAAAGCTCTATACAAAGGCACATGGAGCCAAGGTACGCTTGTGAACCGTCGGCCACGCACGCCTGCTAAAGGGAGACCCCCAGACGAGTAATCTGATCATAAATCTCGACCATGATGACTGGATATTGGACGACGACTCGAAAACCCTTGCAGAGTGTGGGTTCGGTAAGGGTCATTGACCCCGTTGTGTTGTGCTCTATCTAATCCATCCACAGAGAATGAAACCGAAGTCAGCTTCTTCAACAGAGAACTGTACGAACAGTTCAAGGCGCATCCGGAGGTAAGGAAATCATGTTAATCCTTTGCCCTACGCTCGTTGACTCTGCTTGTAGACCCGTTGGGAAGCCGAAAAGTGCTGATACCCCGTGTATAATAGATCCAGCTGATCAGTGTCATTAATATCGTCATGTATACTAGTAACATGGAATCTAGTGAAACAACTGCAGACCAGAGGGCCAACAGAACAGTGCACACAGCATGGGATGAGGACAGATGACAAATGCGAGCATGATGCGGTGGGGGATAAGTAAGAGAAATACAACAAGTCCAAAAGATGTATGCAATCATTGCTGTGCGCACTGTACTCTAGGCTCGCCCTCGTCCTCGTCCATCATGTCTTCGCCCCGGCTCATCGACTCTTGCCTTCTCGCGTCGACCTCCTCCAGCTCGGCCTCCTCGAGCAGGATGTTCTTCGGGAACTTCTCGAGCGGCTTCCTTGGCGGCAGCGCCTTCTCGAGGAACTCGATCTTGGACGGGTCGATGTGGTCCGGGAACACGATCGAGAACTTGATGAACAAGTCTCCATATTCGTGATGTCGCAGTGAGGGCATGCCCTGGCCCGGGATGACCTTCATCTGGTCTGCAAATTCGTGAGAATTTCGTCAGTGATGACGCAAGGCGCAGACGAAACACTGAGCCGGGCAGGTACTTGTACTCACCATGCTTGATGACTTCGCCGGGTACGAGGTTGACCACCAATGCGCGGTCGTCGAGGTGCTTGATCGCGAACTGGCCGCCACCGAGCGCCGTGAGCAAGTCGAGCTCGACCTCGGTGAACAGGTTGTTCTCTTGCCGCCGGAACCGGTCGTGAGGCTTCTCCTCCACAACAATAATCACGTCTCCAGGCACAACACCCGGCGCCTGGTCGCTCTCCCCACGGAAGGTGATCGTCTGGCCCCCGCGCATACCCTTGTCGATATGCACCTCGAGCATCTTCTTCTCCGAAACCGTCTTGCGGCCATTACACGTCTTGCAGCGGTCCTTGTGGTTGATAATCTCGCCCGTGCCCGAGCACTCGTCGCACGGCTGCTGCAGCTGCTGGATCATCGGGCCCATCTGGCGCAGCGTGATCTTCACACCGCGCCCGCTGCACGTCCCGCACTGGCGCACCGCGCCCTCCTTGCCGCCCTTGCCGCCGCATTTCGCGCAGATGATGTTGCGCGTGAGCGCGAGCTTCGTCGTCTTGCCCTTGTACAGGTCCTCGAGCGAGACATGCACGCGGTGGACGAGGTCCTTGCTCTTGCGCGGCCCCGAGGACCGCGAGGGTCCCCCACCGAAGAAGCCGCCGCCGCCGAATAGCTGGCTGAACAGATCCTGGAGCGCACACCCAGATTGGCATCACGACCTTCGCGGTGACGCAGCCCGGGGGAATAAAATACTCACTTGTGGATCCATCCCGCCCATCCCGCCCGACTCTGACAAGCCCGCCTCTCCCCGTGCATCGTATATGCTCCGCTTTTGCGGGTCGGACAAGACTTCGTATCTGCGCGCACAACGTGAGTCAGCACAGCGCCACGCGCAAGCCACCGCGGAAAATACGCACGCGTGTGTAACCTCCTTGAACAGCTCCGGATCACCGCCCTTGTCTGGGTGCAGGCGTAGTGCTCTGCGCAAAAGCACACCGATGAGAACACGCCCCCTCGCGCCACCCCAAACCGCCCAACTCACTTTTTCCGGTAGGCCTTCTTCAAGTCCGCCTCGGAGGCGTCTTCTGGGACTTCCAGCAAGTCGTAATATTTCCTGATAACCAAGCAAGCTATCAGAACAAGTCCAGGTAAATTCGCGCGGGCACGTACGTTTCCTTGACCATGGCTGCGGCGGTGAGTACGAAGGAAGAGGGAATGCGAGGGAGGGGATAGCAAGCGGCGCCCTCTTTCAAGGCGGGGGATCGCAGTGGAACGTCCTGGAAGCTTCGCAGCACATCGCCATATCCGGTAATTGGCACCGCTGCGCTTGGGCAACACGCTTATGTAAGCCTCTGCTCCCCTTCATTCTGCTGAAATCTTTCAGTGCTTTCTTCCTGTCCAGCGCTGTGATCGTGCGCTTGCTAATGATACATAAATCATTGGATGATATCTGCAATGCATGGTGCTCGGTTTCCTTCTGTTCGATTTCTTTGTATACGCGGAAGATGAGTATCAATCGAGCCCTCCGAATGCGCTAGAAACCTCTGAATCCCATCCCATCGCGGCGCCAATCTGAGATACCAGTAGTCGCACTCATGCAGCCGCCTCGCTCACGTCTGGATACACATCGAAGCGGCGCTGCGTCGTGACCGGGATGCCCGCGCGCGCGGAGTGGAACACCGCCGGGTCTGCAAGGCAATGAGGGTGAGCTGATAGAGCATCGCAGGAAGGGACGCACCGATGTCGACGTAGATAATCTCCTCCTCGTGCCCGGCCTCGGCGAGCACGGTCGCCCTAGCGCGGGCGATCAGCTAGAGATAATTCGCAGATTGTGATAGGGACTTACATGGGATCTACGACCATCGAGTGGCCCCACTGCATGATACATCTGAGAGCTGCGTTTGCGGTAGAAGATGGCCGGACACTCACAGCATGGTACTCTGCGGACATATCCCGGGCAGGACTGCACATCGACACAAAGATCTGATTGTCCACGGCACTGGCAGGGCGTTCAGTCCTGAGCGTCCGGTCGGGGATTCACTGAGCTCACCGAGCACGCTGCAGCAGCTCCCAATGTAACGGGCCCGTGGTTAGGTTAAATGCGGACGGGTAGATAATAGCATGACAGCCTGTGTAATTAACGTTGTTGGTTAACACCCTTACTCGAAGGAAGGATACGGGAGCGTTTACCCCTGCGTGCCGCAATCATGGCCAACTCGGGAAAGCGCACGTCGTAGCAGATGCCCAGACCTATGCGCGCAAAGTCGGTGTCGAACATGTTCATGGTCGTCCCGGCACTGAGTATTTCGCTTTCCTATCCACAATGCTTTGCATGAGATGAAACAGCGGAAGTGTGAATGGAGTAGCTGCTCACCTTGAAAGTGATCTTGCCGGGAATGTCAATGTCGAAGAGATGGAGCTTGCGGTGCAGCGCGACCAGGTCACCTAGACGGCTAGTTAGGATATTGGGGTGCTAAGACATACTAGGAGCAAACCTTTTGGAGAGTAGACAGTGCAGGTGTTGTAGAGCTTTTTGCTGTCGGTGGCATCACGCTCCGGTATCGAGCCTACAGGTATGGAGTGTCGGCTGAAGTGGCAATTCCAACGACGCCATCTTACCGCCGATCAGCCAGACGCCCTCTTCCTTGGCGGCTTCTGAAAGCATCTTGACGCTGCCGCTCTCGCTTTTGGAGACATCGTAGGGCTGTCCCGGGGTGTAGCCTATCGTCTCGGCAAAGACTGGGAAGTGCTTGGCGCCGTACGGTGAATTGAAACACTCCTGGAACATCCAGCTAATCTCAGTTCTACCCCGTGTATGTAGCGCTTTTCATACCGGCAAGACGACCAAGTCAGGCTTCTTGGACCCCTGGCCAGACGCGGCCTTGCTGATCATATCCCTCGCATGCGCCAGGTTGCTCTTCGTATCCGACGTGACCTGACCGAGCTGGACGAGCGCCAGCCTGAACGGCTTCAGCGTCGGAGCCTCTGGTGATGTGGACATGGCACGCGATTTAAAGAGTCTGAAGGAACGGACGGGCAGCGAGCTGAGCAACATGCAACGACGGCGACAGCGGACGGCACAGATAAGATCGGGCGCTCGGCACCGCATTGCGATCAGGCGATCGAGACAGATCTCATCGCAGATCTAATCAATGTCGCCATCAGCCAGCCACAATCAGCCTCGAAGTGACTTTCCTCCATCTATTTCCTGCCAAAGTCCTGGAATAATATACAACAACAGCTAAGATATGTCTCTTCTTGTCATCTACAACCCTGCATCCGGAGACCGGTCAGCAAAGCAATTCTTCGAGGAGCATGTTATACCTCTTCTGCACCAGCACGACAAGAATCCCACCAACATCGCGTCTACCGAACGCGCAGGCCACGCCGGAGAACTTGTCAAATCCCACATTGCCGCCCACCCGGGACCGGTCACAGTAATTATCGGCTCCGGGGATGGCACCGTCCACGAAATCGTCAACGGTCTGCCTGAAGCAGCAGCCACCAGAGTAGACCTGGTCATCGTCCCGCTCGGAACAGCCAACGCGCTCTACTCCTCCCTCTTCCCCCCCTCCGGCGCCGACCAAGACCCCACGTCCTACCGCCTCAAAGGCCTATCCGCCTTTCTCACCAGCGCCCCTCCAAAGCCGCTCACCCTCGCAAAGACGACGCTTTCCTCCTCGTCCACCGTCTACTCTGCCGTCGTCACCTCCACCGCCCTCCACGCCTCCATCCTCCACGACTCCGAAGCCCTGCGCGCATCCATGCCCGGCATCGAGCGCTTCAAAGCCGCCGCCGCGCAGAACATCACACGCTGGTACCGCGCCTCCGTCACCTTGCACCCCCCAATCTCCATCTACGACCCCACCGCCGCCGCGCTTACCCCGCGCGCGCAGGAGCCTACCACCCTGCACGGCCCGTTCGCGTACTTCCTCTCCACCGTCAACGTCGACCGCCTCGAGCCCCTCTTCCGCATCACCCCCCTCGCGGCCTCCTCGCCCCCCACCGCACCCGCACTCGACCTCGTCGTCGTGCGCCCCCTGCGCGACCCCGCCGTGTCGTCCGACTCGGCCGACGACAGGGAGGTGTTTGCGCAAAAGGCCGGCCGCGTGCTGGGCGAGGCCTACAATAACGGGAACCATGTCAATCTGCGGTACGCACCCGACCGGCAGCCCGTCACGGAGGGGGATGGCGAGACGGTCGTCGAGTACTTTCGCTGCGCCAGCTTTCAGTGGGTGCCGGTGAGTTGCGGTTTGCTCCCTTTCCATATGATCTTGGCTCATTTGTTACAGGAGGGCGCTGATGATCGTGCACACCTGTTGTGCGCCGACGGTGCGATCTTCAACATTGCGCAGTCAGGAAAGGCTTCCTGTGTAGCGACCTCATCCACCGACAACGGGATCACTTTCTCAGTCTATGCTTGACGATCAGACCTATGGCAAGTCTAGATGCATTTGTGATCTATATGGTATCAGAAGCTTCTCCTAGATAGAACATTACAGTGTGATATGTAGTTTGTATGATGACCCTTCTTAAACGGTGACATTGCGGTTCAGCGTGCCAGCAAAGAGCTCTTTAATCACAGCGCTAGCCTTCTCGTAAACCTCGTCGATGGAGGGAGAGGCGTCGATCTGAACGGGTGTAAGTGAGGTGCAGCACAGCATAGAAGGGCACTTACACTGGCAACTTTGCCTTGCTTGTTGTAATGCTCGATGACGGGCATCGTCGTCTCCTTGTACGTGCCTAGACGCCGTATCCGCACCCTCAGAATCCGCAGTCACACCTCGGGCAGAAGATAACACGCACGGAACCGCTTCTTGATGCTCTCCTCGTTATCATCCTCCCGCCCGCTCGTCTCCCCGCGTTTTAGCAGCCGCTTCAACATCACCTCCTCCGTCGTCGTGAAGAACAGCACCAAACTCGACTGGCACACCTATCCCCCCATCAGCACATCCCCTCCCCTCCACCACCCAAAGAACTCAAACTCACCTCTTCGTCAAACTTGAGCGCCTGGTCCATCTTCCGCGGGAACCCATCAATCAAGAACCGACCCTTTCCCTCCGCCCAGCCCTCGCCCGCGCGCCCCTCGGCGAGCGCGGCGCGCATCGCGTTCTCGAGCAGCTTGATGGTGATCTCCATCGGCACGATCTGCCCCTCCTTGATGTACGTCCGGATGAGCTCGCCGTACTCCGACTTCTCGCGGTTTTGCTCCGCGCGGAGGAGGTCGCCCGCTGCATGGGGGGGGGGGGATTGAATATGAGAACACAGGCGAAGGGAGGGAAGGAGGGAAAGACGTACCTGAGAGGTGGCAAAAGTCAAACTCGCGCACGAGCTTGTCGCACTGGGTGCCTTTGCCTGTCGGGACGCTGCCTCAGAGCACAGAACAAGCGTGGCCGCCACGATAATCACCTGCCCCTGGCCCGCCGAGGACGAAGATCACCGTGACCTTGCTGCTGTCGAACACTTGCGTCTTGGGAGCGTCGGCCGCAGGGGCTGAACCGGCTGCAGCGGGAGCCGGCGCATGAGAGGTTGCAGGAGGCGCGCTCTCCCCCTTCTTCGAGTCCTTGTGCGGTAAATGCAGCGCCTGCGCGATCTTCTCAATGATAGGCGCCATCACTGCTGCTGGTCCTCTTTACGACGGATAGGGGGAACGAGCGGGTTATCGTGCTGGCGCGACGTCGGGCTGTTATTCGCGGCGCGTTTCTTCGTGAGGTAATAGAAAGCACCGAACGACGCTGTGGTGATCGCGAAGAACAGGAACGGGTTGGGGGCTTTCCTCGCAGTGGACGGCGCAGCGGACTTGAGCTTGGCTTTAGGATTGACCCAGCGGCCCTTGAATCCCTCGGTCTGAGTCTCTGGCATACAAACGCAACGCCGGCTATATACAGCAGCAGCCGTGAAATACCAATCCGGGTTGGTGGCTGTTTGTTTGTGCTTATTGGGCAGGGCCTTGCGATTCTAATACGCGCAAACAACGCGTCCGCGCGCGCTTGCCACAGCGTAGAAGTGCAATATGGCTCCCTCGACGATCACGTACAACCTCGAGTCTGCTGCTGGCGCCGTGCGGGCGTGTCACTTTGATGATGCTTCGGATTTGGTCGCGGTGACGGGGGAGCATAGCTGTAATGTGCTGCTTGTGGTAAGCCTGATTTCTACTGGTACGAGTCTGCAGCCACTTTATTCTGGGCGGAATAGGGCGAGACGACGTGTCAAAGTATTGCATGCTTCCACTTGGGAGGCCCCGTAACGTCTCTAGCTTGGTCACCCAGGACGGTTTCTCCGTCAGTGACAGACGAATGGATGGTAGAGTACGTCCTGTCTCGCCTGGACGTATTGCACGCGTGCTCAACCCAAGACCAGACTGGCAATAGCTACGGACGACTTTGACCTCGCGATATGCACAAAGTCGCGCGAAGAAGGGGAGAACGTGGGCAAACTGGGTGCAGAGCTGACCGGCCACCACGGGCGGGTGAACGACATGACGTTCTGCGGCGGAGGCGCGCGGTACCTCGCCACCGTCTCAGGTGCGTAATTTCTCGAACCTCTTCGGCCACTCCTCACCTACCTGGTAGACGACAGACTACTCCTAGTCTGGGACCTTTACCCCGACATCCCTCCCGAAGAAGACATACCAGAGAACGCCGCAGACATCCCAGGCCGCCTGTCCGAGCCTGTCGCATACGCGATCAAGTACTCCCACGCGCTGAACTCCGTGTGTGCCCATCCGTCGAGCTCCAAGGAGCTCCTGGTGGGCGACTGCCAGGGCTCCATCTTCCTCGTCGACTGGCGCTCGACCATCCCCGACGAAGCGTTCTCTTTCCGGCGGCACAGCATCCTAGAGCTCGTCGAGCCGCGCGCGCTGGCGGAGAGCACTATGGGCTTCGCGTCGGGCAAGGGTGGTTCGGTGGCCTGGCGCGTGGATTCACCGGATATGTGAGTCCTTCGAGCGCTCTCCAATTCACGGCGATGCTGACGGGCTGTAGAATCGGCGCTGCGTACGGTTCACGATATTCAATATGGGACCTCACGATGCTACGAGGGGGCAAACCGTCTCTGTCAGGTGTGAGCTTCCCCGGCGGAAACGACAAATTCCGGTATGTCCCTCTCCTCCTCTCCCCTTCTCCAATACCTCGCATACTGACGCGCACGCCAGATGGTGTCCCACGCACCCCAGTCGATTTGGGATATCTCCCGTCTCACCGACAGCAGGCCCCGTGATACACATACATAACATGGCGTACCCTCATATGGAGCCCGACGTGGTGGAGCTTGCGCCCTCGCGGCACCTGCGCATACGCGATTTTGATTTTCTGGCGAGTAAGGAGAGGGCACGGCTGGCGGCGAGTGTGGGGAGACAGGTTATCATATCTTACGTTAAGTCGTCGTAGCAATTTATCGTTGTGCCGAGTGGAAGTGCTAGCAGCGAACCGATGAGATGAGGTAGACATTATTCTTCCGATTTATCGTGGTTGGCAAACATCCTCGACATCTATCTGCAGCTCCTGTTTCAGTCCTGCGAGGTTCCTAGTATAGGTGCTTCAAGCTGTCTCAGTCTGCAAAGAAAGTTGAAAGCGTTCGGCTCATAGATGTGTCGTGATACGCGTTCGTCTAGATAAAGCACGATCCCCGAGTCATCTTAGCCGAGTGACTCATCATCCTACTGGTTGGTTCAAATAGGTTCAAATGCAATGAGTACTCTTGACCAGCAGTGCGTGAAATGAGCCAGGAAATCTCCCTACATGAACTCGACGCCCGTCGAACCGACCAAATATCCAATGAAACAAATCTAGCACCCGTGGACACCGGGTTTGCAGCATGGTCGTTCGTACGTGATTTCTGAGTCTCCAGCATATAATGAGGTCTGACAATGTACTTTTGTACCATCGCTACCGTGGCAGCTCATTTCCGCTGCTATGGTTGAGGCGGTGGTTTGGAGTATACCATTCTCATACGGTATACTCCTGGATGCATATTTGCAAGATGCCAAAATTACCTCCCAACCCCGAGCTTCTACCCTTCTACCTCTGGTTGGGACGCTCTCCTCTGGGACTATATATTGTACCGGTATGTCCTGCGCTCCCAGCTCCAGGTCTTCATTGACAGAAATCTTGCAAGGGGTCATCGTATATCCCTACATCGCGCGTTATCCCGCACATAGACGTCCTCTGATGTGGGTTGGCACGGCTTTATGCTGGATTAGTTTGCTTGCGTCAAGCTACACCCATAAGGTAAGCGGGCATTCGTACAATATCCTGCGTGCACTGACCAGATACACCAGGTCTCCGAACTAGTGTTCCTTCAAGGAGTGCTTTACGGCCTCGGAGGAGGTAGGTTCCTTGCGCCTGCTAAACCGCTCCTTATGACGCATTCCCCTTTCGCCAGCTGTTATATACCCTCCGTGCATCTCGTATATGTCTGAGTGGTTCGTAAGACGCCGAGGCTTCGCTAATAGTGTCCTTTTCGCCGGTAGGACGCATCCCTTTCGATCCAATGCAATTCAGAATTACTCAAGCTACCTAATAGGGACAGCAGCTACTGGCCTCGTCCTTCCCTTTGTCATTCCCCCGTTGCTGGAATCAGTGGGAATTGCGGCGACACTCCGAATTCTGTCCGGAATGGTCCTGTCTCTTCTCTTGCCCGCCCTATACTACATCAGACCGCGGTTACCTGAGAGCAGGATTCATGGACCGGGACGTAGGACTGGCGCGCTTCTGGGTTGGGCGAAGGACCCGTCATGGTGGAGTCTTGTGGTTGCAAATACGATACAGGGATTTGCGTTCTTCGTTCCTATTCTTTGGATACCTAGTGAGTTGGTGTCGGGATTTCACTTGACATTACCTGACCTGCTCGAATATAGCCTTCTCATCAGCACTCGGTTTGGACAGCTCCATGTCATCGCTGGCGCTGGCACTGTTGAATGGTGGGTAGTCATTTTTGAACCCTCCTCCGGCTCTGAGGACTGAGCGCTGAACAACTTGAGCCTAGGATCATCGGCGCTGGGGCCCGTAGTGGTTGGATTGCTTTCTGATCGGTTTACCCCGTGGCCGATCGCACTCCTCACTGCAACCCTATCATGCATCAGCACCTTCATTCTTTGGGGTGTGATTGGAAATGTTGCAGGCCTAATGTTATTTGGGGCAACCTATGGGCTCTTCGCTGGGGGATGGAGCACTTTGTGGTCTGACTTTGTCCAGAGAATATCCAGTAAGCGGCATCCAGTACCGGTACATGCAGCAGGACTCACCTTCTGTTCTCGGTAGAAGGAGAACCTTCCGTCGCAATGTCGCTGTACGGCTTTCTCATGATGACACGCGGGCTGGGGAACGTGCTCTGCACCCCAATATCAACTTCGCTCGCAAATATCTCTGGGCGAGGCAACTCTACCATTGGAGGAAAAGGCGGATTCACTGTGGACCAGGGTAGGTTCGAGAAGCTCATTATCTACGTGGGAGCATGTTATGCAGCCGTTTCTTTGATGGCTTTGATTGGATGGCTTCGCGAGCTCTCGTACAGAGCTAGAGGAGCATAGTGACGCCAGCGCTCTGAGTATCACATGGAATGACACAGAATAATTGTAGCTTTCCGTGAATCTAAGCTGAGCCCCTGTGGGGTTGCTAGTGGCTGCCCTGCGGTCAGACGTGTTGCAAAAGAGAATGCTAGCAAAGGGATGGAATGTCCTGGGCACTTGGCAAGATCCTGTTACGGTATTGTTTGGCAGGGTTAGGGTGTACCTGGGCTGCGCGGCGCTCGCCACCCCCGCAACAGGACTAGCCGCTTGTCTCGCACATATCAAATGCCTCCAGCTCGCGATATGCGCTCTCATCCTGTGCCCTCTCTTCTTCCGACCTTGAGAGAAGCGTTGACGGCGGTATGGCCTCTCTGACTTCAGCATCAGCCGCTGCTACCAGCACGCAGCGAGCTCCTTCGCAAGCAGGTATCATAGATGGCTCCAATCCAACGGTGTACAATCCGAAGGATCCCATCACTATCTTCATCATCCAAGTAGGTGCATGCAGCCTATGCCACGAAACTGAGGCCATAAGCGCTGACTTGCATTCAGGCCGGCATTATCATAATCTTCTGTCGCCTCCTCCACTGGCCTCTGGCAAAGCTGCGCCAGCCCCGTGTCATCGCCGAGGTCATCGGTGGCATCCTGCTCGGTCCCTCCGTCATGGGTCGCATTCCCCACTTCACCTCTACGATTTTCCCGCCTGCGTCCATGCCGAACCTCACCCTTGTCGCCAACCTCGGCCTCGTCCTTTTCCTCTTCCTTGTCGGCCTGGAGGTGGATTTGCGAGTCCTTGTCAGTAATTGGAGGGTAGCGCTTAGTGTGGGTTTGGCCAGCATGGCCTTGCCATTTGGCTTGGGCGCTGCGATATCGTATGGTCTATATCACCAGTTTCGGATGGAGGCCGACATCAAACCAACATCCTTTGGGGTATACTGCCTCTTCATCGCAGTGGCCATGTCGATTACTGTAAGCGCCTCACGGCTTATAATTAGCAGCTCCTTGCTCATTCTTCCCCCCAGGCTTTCCCTGTACTATGCAGAATCCTCACTGAGCTCAAGTTGCTTATGACACCAGTTGGCGTCATTGTTCTCTCGGCTGGTGTCGGCAACGACGTTGTAGGTAAGCCTACCCCTTTCGACGCTCTGTCGATTGTTGACCAATAATTCCTGCAGGCTGGATCCTTCTTGCGCTCTGTGTCGCGCTTGTTAACGCCGGTAGTGGTCTCACAGCACTCTGGGTTTTACTGATTTGCATTGGCTACACTCTGTTCCTCGCCTATGCCGTACGTCCCGCGTTCCTCTGGCTTCTCCGACGGACGCGTACCCTCCAAGACGGGCCTAGTCAAGGCATTATCGTCCTGACGCTCCTGATGGTGCTGACCTCCGCGTTCTTCACCGGCGTCATCGGCGTCCACCCCATTTTTGGCGCGTTCATGATCGGGTTGATTTGTCCGCACGAAGGCGGCTTCGCCATCAAGGTCACCGAGAAGGTGGAAGATATCGTCAGCTCCCTCTTCCTGCCGCTGTACTTTGCGTACTCTGGCCTGAACACCAACCTGGGGCTTTTGGATAATGGCATCACTTGGGCATATGTCATTGGAGTTACAGCGGTTGCTTTCTGCGCCAAGTTCACAGGAGCCGGTCTGGCAGCTCGCGCGAACGGCCTTGTCTGGCGCGAGTGCTTTGCCATCGGCGCCCTAATGAGCTGCAAGGGCTTGGTTGAGCTTATCGTCTTGGTTAGTAACCCCGACCAAATCATATTGAGTACTTGCTGAACGCGTCTGTTAGAATATCGGGCTCCAAGCTCAGATCCTCAGTCAGACCACCTTCACGATTTTTGTGGTCATGGCTCTGATTACGACCTTTGTCACGACTCCGCTAACCTCGTGGCTCTACCCTCCTCATTACCGACGGAAATTAGAAGCATGGCGACGCAACGAAATCGACTGGGAGACTGGCGCCCCCATCAACGGTCATGATGCAGACTCCGAAGTGGCCGTCCCGTACGAAAAGTTGCAGGGCGGCAAAGTCGAAAGACTATTGGTGTACCTCCGCCTGGACAATATGTCTGCCTTGTTGCCCTTCGTATCCCTCTTTGGCGGTAAATCCGACCATAGCTACACCAAGGTGCATCCCTCTCGTGCGGGTACGGTTGGCAACGAGGTGACCTCGTCGGACCAACACCGGCGCCCGGTCGCGATCAAAGCGCATGGTGTGCGCCTCCTCGAACTGACAGACCGTGACTCCTCCGTCATGAAGGTTTCCGAAGTGGACTCGGTCGGTGCGCGCGATCCGGTGGTCGGCACGTTCCGCACATTTGGATACTTGAACAACCTTGCTGTGTCAGGAGAGGTCGACGTCGTCCCGGAAAACTCCTTCTCCGACGTCTTGGTCTCGAGGGCTGCGGATGTCTCTGCAGACTTGATTATCCTTCCCTGGAGCGAGACGGGGAGTATGTCCGAGTCAGCCGTCATATCTGGTGATGCTCTGCGCCACAAGCTCAGCTCGGACAACTACAACAGTTTTGTCGCCTCTGTACTGGATAAGGCTAACTGTAGTACGGCCGTCTTCGTGAACGAGGACTTCGGCGGGTCGGGAACCGTTGACCGCCGAAAGCTCCAGCGATCCATTAGCCATGCAAGCCTGCGCAGCACGCGCGATCAGGGTATCTCAGCGGTTGCGCCGAGCGCCAGCCCCAATCATCACATATTCTTGCCCTTCTTTGGAGGCGCTGACGACCGCGCTGCCCTGCGTCTCGTCTTGCAACTTGCCGAGAACCCATACGTGATGGCGACGATCGTTTACTTTGCCACACCTGAAGAACATGGCGATTCGTCATCCAGCGCAGTCGAGTATCTGCCGAGCCTCGGCCATAGCGGTATTGTGCCAACTGGGGAAGCTACCGCGACTTTCTTCGATTCTGTGCGAAATGCCGTGCCTGGAGACCTCGCCGCTCGCGTCCTTTTTGACAGGGCCCAGACCAGCACGCCTCTCTCGGCTGCGATCGAGTACGCACGGAAGGAGGTTGGTCGGAACTCACGTAATGCGGGGGACCTGGTTGTTATAGGCCGGAATCTCAGCAGCGTTGCGATGTTTGCTCAGGAAGATGTGGCGGGCGAAAGTAATGTGGAGGCCCAGAGATGTTTGGGAGTCGTGGCGGAGGTGATGGTGCGGAGCAAGGTCAAGGCGAGCCTGCTTGTTGTACAGGCAGGCCGGTCGAGTGGTGGACAGTGAGTAGTTGCTCCCTCGTATATACTAGTAGTCGCCAGTGAGCTTGCTTTTATGACCTTACGACCTGTGTAATAGTATCTACACTTGAGTGTGATGTATATTTCTACTTAATACTATTCATGACCAGGATGGACGTCAAAAGCTACACCGCGTCGGAAGGGTGAAAGGTGACGCGAGATAAACCATATTGAAGAATATAGGAAATCCTTATGTCGGAATGATGAGCGATGGGAAGCACTACTCTTGGAGGACTGTCGTTAGCAGAATCACGGTTGCATGGTGGATCTGGGAGGTCATGGATAGTCCGGAAAGCGTGGGCCTCAAGTTGAAGGAGATAGAGGATGAAACGAAACCAAATAGTTCATCGCTCGCTCGACGACGATGGAATACCTTACGAGGAAGGTCCATTACCGGAAAAGGTGAACTCAAGAATCATTGTGGCTGTCGTTTATACTTGGAATTTCGACTAAGGGTGCTACGACCAGGGGAAGGGACGTGCATTAGCTCCGAGCGGCGTACCATTTAGCACATGCCCTCTAAGCCTGTTTTCCGCCTACTTCTGCGCGGGCGGAGTATCCGGGAACAGCGACGCGATCATCCGGGGCTGGTACCGCTCTCCTTTGGCAGCGTCCGCTTTCTCCCCACCGCCGCGGCGCGGACCTCTGCGATCTCCTCGGGCGTCAGCTTGAAGGACGCGGCGCCGAGGGTCTCCTTCAGATACTGGATCGCATACAAGTTAGGACCACGGAAGGTCCTCAGGGTGCGCACGACTGACCTTCACGGACTTTGTCCCCGGGATGGGAATGATGTCGTTGCCCTGGGCGAGCAGCCAGGCGAGAGCCACTTGCCCCGCGGTCGCGCCGTGGCGCTCACCAATAGCCTCCAAGCCATCGACAAGCTTAAGGATATTGGGGAAGTTTTCTTCCGAGTACCTGGGGACGTATCGTCTCAAGTCGCCCTCGTGAAAGTCATCGGGAGATTTCTGCAGGGATCCCCTAGTCAATCAGAGGATATGACAGCGCACTGAAACCACCGCTCTGACATATCTGCCGGTGAGCAAGCCTCTCCCGAGGGGACTGTAAGCCACGACGGTTACGCGCAGCTCCCGCGTCGTCTGCAGTAGACCGATCTTCTCATCCTCGATGTCGAGCGTGAAGGAGAATATTCCACCTGGACCGCCGCAATAGGTGGACGGCGTGGGCGCGCCGGAGCGGCGCCGCAGAAATCTCGGACAGCCCAAGGTATTACACCTACGCGTGACGAGCTCAGCCATTGCACCGACGGTGACCTCGATGGGTAATTTCGAGTCGGCGCACAAGTCGAGGTAATCTGTGTAAGCAATGGATGACTTTCCGTAAGGAAAAATCCTAGATTTCGCCGTCCTAAACGCCATCACAGTGCCTTGTCACGGTCATTCGCACGACCGATAGACAGGATAGAGGTGTTTCTCCTATCCGTAACGCCACGAGCCCTCAGTCACGCTATTGATGGCGGCTTACTATGTAAGGAAGGAAAGTGGCTAAACACGGAAGGTACTGATGGCAAGTATATGATGGCATGATACGCGAACGTTTACCGAGGCTAAGCGAGCCTTTAGAGGCAAGCGCGAGTCTGAAGAGGGGGGTCGGACCCCAGGTAGCTTTACTGCGCCCCCGTGCAAGCACGTACAAATATACCATATCCAGAAGAATATCACGTGATGCCGGCAAACGCGGGCTTCCCGCCGCCGCGCGCGTGTCCGGCCACTTAGAGTATCTTCAAGTCTGGACTAAGAGGGTCATATAGATGGAGCAAAATAAATTTTCATTGAAATCTATATAGCTGTGATACATGTGGCTGACAAGGTAGATATAAAAGCCAACAGTAAGGAAAGGTAATAAACCCTAACCCTAAAAGCACAAATCAAAAAATGTGCACAGTAGGAATTGAACTTTAGACGTCCTGTGCTAAATGCATGCCGCATAACCACTACACTAAAGAAGCAATGCATGTCTTACACGTTAAAAATATATGATGGCAATGTAATTGGCGCCTACTTAATACGGCTGGGTCCAGTTATTTTTAGTGACGCGGCCGGAGGGGTCGGAGGTCACATGATATTCTTCTCGAAAAGGTAATATTTGGTCATGTTTACGCGGGGGCGCAATAGCAAAGACGTCGGACCCCCTTGACAAAATAAAGTTTGCAGACAGCTTCAACTCGACGACCACCATCAAAATTGGCGAGCGTGACAAGCCGGCATCTCGGCTGATGCATTTAGAGTCGAATCTAGGATAGAAAACGACTCTAAATGCTTACGGAAAGTCATCCAATCAGGCAGCGGGGTCTACAACAGGCTGGGTGCTAGGGTTCCGTAAATTTGGGACGGCTCCTAATTAGCATTGCTAATTTGCAGGTCGCTGGCCGGAGGCCAGATTTGCAGGTGTAATTTACCGTTAATTAGCAACGGGGTCCGGGGCGGAGACCCGGCGCGGTCCGCGTTAATTAGCGCTAATTAGCATGCTAATTTGGTCTAATTTACATGCTAATTACAGAAAAGCTACCAAGTATCCCAAGAGACCACCTCCTCAGATGTACTAATATCAGCTCGGTGTGCTGCTTTGCCAGCATTTATTGATGCCACTGGTCTGGGGTTCACAGCCACGTCCGAGAGGACATCTTGCAGAAATTCGGATGTGAGGTCGATATATGCCTCAAGCTCAACTCCGCCAATCTTGGGTAGAGTGAACTTGTCCCGTGCGATCTGACTAGTACTTGCAGGTTCCGCTTCATACTCACTGTCAGGTTCTTCGTCCAGCTCCAGAGGGCCCGTGCCCATAAGGGAAGGTTGTACATTGCTGGATTCCATAAGGCCGGTAGCTGAATCACCAAATATGGTTGAAGACATCTCTCGCCACTTGACCGTTGGCAGAGTCTTAGGCGCTGCCACCTATACTCGCATAGTGGTCAGCGAAGTTCGCAGTCCTGTGTAAAAGGTGGCTGATACCTGGGGATTCCACCTATGCCAGCCACGGATCATAATAGTGTCATTGAGAGTCAAAATGTCTTGTCGACTCCGTAACTTGGAATTCAACCATGTAACGCTCGACATAGCTCGTTCGTCAACCATGGAATTTACCGACACCGAGAAGATCTTCACAGCAAGTGCCCAACAAACCTCCCAACGTTAGGAAGGCCCATTGTGCACATATAAGGTCAACTTACGCCGAGAACCTGGCCCATCTGATCTCTTCGTACGGCTTCCCACCACTGCTTGACAGTCTCACCATCACGGAAGCGGCGATTAAAAGGCTCTCGTCTCTTCACGTAACTTTGAAACTGCTCCTTCAGCAGAACGTTCGCATCTCGCGGTAATATACTGGCAAGATGAGGGTTCCGGATTTTCATTGCTTTCTTGATCTGCTTTGAATCTGAATCTTTCATAGCAAGGACTTCCGCGCCATATTCATTCTTCAAGATAGTAAGGAGACTCAGCCCAACCTCCTTCACTACGTCGTCGTCGGTGAGTCCGGAGGTGGCAACACGTTCACCATCTCTATTTGATGTGATGCGCACAGCAGG